TGGCATTTTGATGATGATGTGTCTTGGTGTGGACCTCTTTGAGTTCAACTTGTTTGGGAATCTCTGTGCTTCCTGGACTTATATGTCTGTCTTCCTCACCAAGTTAGGAAAGTTTTCTGTCATTATTGTTTCAAATAGGTTTTCAATTTCTTGTTCTCTCTCTTCTCCTTCTGGACCCCTATGATGAGACCAAATGTTGGCATACTTGAAATCGTCCCAGAGGCTCCTTACACTATCCTCATTTTTTTGGATTCTTTTTTCTTTTTGTTGTTCTGATTGGCTGTCTTTTGCTTCCTTATATTCCAAATCGATGGTTTGCTTCTTGGCTTTACCTACCCTACTATTGATTCACTGTAAATTATTCTTTATTTCAGTTAGTGTCTCCTTCATTTCAGACTGGTTCTTTTTTATGTTGTTAATGTTCTCACTAAGTTCCTCAGAGGTCTCCTTGAGTTTCTTGAAGGTCTCACTAAGTTTCTTGAATGTCTCACCAAGTTCCTTGTGCAACCTTATAACAGTGTTTTGAACTCTACATCTGATTGATTGCTTATCTCCATTTTGTTTAAGTCTTTTTCTGGAGTTTTGTTCTTTTCTTTCATCTGGGACATGTTTCTTTGTCTCTTCATTTTGGCTGCTTCCCTGTGATGTTTCTATGTATTAGGTAGAATTGTTATTTCTTCTAGGCTTCGTAGGGTAGCCCATTGTTGTAGGTGTCCTATAGGATCCAGTGGCACAGTCTCCCTGATCACCCCAGCTGGGCCCTCGAGCTGCACCCATAGTGTGGACTATACACCCTTCTGTTGTAATTGAGTCTTGATTGCTGTTGGCACATCAGTGGGAAGAATTTACTCAGGCTGATAAGCTGCAAGAACTGGCTATGCCCACTGATCACTGGCTTTTGACTACCTTGGAGGATCAACTGTGTAGGCACCCACCACACAGACTAAGACTCACTTCATCAGAGCTGTGGTACCCACTGAGTCCACTCATTCAGTGTATCACTTTTGGAGGTGGTTGTGTGGTAGTGTTTTGATGTGGTCTGAAGCTGTCCAATGGGTGTGCTGGCCCTGGGACAAGGTTAGCCACTGCCTGTGTTCTATCTAGGGCCACTTGGCATAAGCTACAAAGTGATCTGCAGATGGCTGCTTCTTGTGCTGGGCTTGGAGGTGCCCAGGAAAAGCCAAGTTGTGAACCATGGCTGGTTGCTTCTAGTGCCAGTCCTGGAGCCACTTAACAGAAGATATGTGGCTCGCTGAGACCAAATACTGCTTGTTTGAAAGATTTTAGGAAACTCTGAAACAGGATCCTAGACAAGAAATTCTTCCATTTTGCCTAGATTGTCCAATTTGTTGGCATATAATTGTTCATAGTATTTGTTAACAATCCTTTGTATTTCTGTGGTGTCTGTTGTTACTTCTCCTCTTTCATTTTGGATTTTGTATATTTGGGTCCTCTGTCTTTATTTCTCGGTGAGTCTAGCTAAGGGTCCATCAATCTTGTTTATCTTTTCAAAGAACCAGCTCTTTGTTTCATTGATCTTTTGAATTTTTTTTTTTTTTTGAGAAAACCAAAACCCAGCTTATTTATGCTGGTGTGTACCAAATAGCCAGATCTTCTAAAGAACATCTACATTAACATTTCTTTCAATGTTTCAAGAGATGAAAATAACTGTACAAGGTTAAGTACAAAAGTACACAAGACAGCGGACACGAAAAAAAATCCATGTATGCAATTTTATCCCACCTACAGCTTTGATATATTTTGAAAGAATTCATGAACTAAAATATATTGTCCTTCTATAGTCCTGTCAAGTTTAATGGAAGTGGGTTTAACCTAATTACAACACTAACACCAGTATCACTGATCTGATATTTACAAAAAATTGTTATTTTTCAATAAATTAAAGTCAATGCAACACCCATGCAAGCTAGAATTCTAGCTGTTTGGTGAACAAGGACCTGACAGCAGACCAGAAGTCTAGAAAGTTCCAAACATTAAGTGAGATCTTTTTCAAACTGCATCCATTCCTCGCATTGATGAAGTGAAACCCAATCCCATTCCTCTTTGTGTGTGGGTCTCTGACCTTGCCATCCCATATTGAGCATCTAGATTTCGAAATACTTCTTTGTGTTGCTTCAAAGTCCTGTAAATTTCTTCATCAACTGAGCTACATCCAGCGTCATCTTCACTCTTAATACCCATTAATTTCCTAAATTTGATGTTTTGGTCCTTGTTTCCAAAATTCTATTTTTCCCATATTTCAGCAGACTGGGATTTGTCCCCTTCTTTCTTGCCTTGCCAAAGCATTTTCCTTATTTTCTCTTATTCAGCAAATTTCACTGGATTCACAGCTGCTGGGTTATAATAGCTAGGTACAGCTATCCCAGTCTCTGCTAAAGCTTTAGCCTGCAGGGTTGCCAACTGAGCTGCCATAGCTATCTGAGGAGTTACTTGCGTTCCTGATGCCAATAGGGCCTCAACATTGAGAACAGAACCTCCAGTAGCTGCAGTTGCTACAGCTATGTCTTGTTGTTTCTGTTTTTCAACCATTTCCTTTTCTCGTTGTTCTTGTAACTTCTTTGCCCTTTCCAACCTCCTAGCTAGAGCTTCTTGTGCATCCATTGCTGTGTTTCTGCCTCTGAAGGGTGGTGGACTAGGTGTTCTACTTTAACTTCTGCTAAATCTTCTTGATTTTTCCATTCTCTTCTTTCTATCTCGACTTCTACTCCTTGTCCTACTCCGGCTTCTACTCCTATGCCTGCCTGTGTCTTGATCTGGAGCGGGAACGAGAGCGGATCCGATTTTTTCTTTCCCTGCTTCTGGATCGTGATTTTCTCCACTCCTTACTTCGGGATAGAGATTTCTTCCGGTCCCTGCTTCTACAACGATGACGCCTTTCACGAGATCTAGATCTTGAGTGACTTCTGCCTCTTGATGATTTTCTTTCTTTGCATTTGTGTCTGTCCTCACCATTTTCAGATGAATTTAATCGCTCTCTTCCTTTATCAGAAGAATGTTCTTTGTCATTATGTTCCTCAGACTTGTGTTTCTTAGAGGATTTATCTTTGGATTCATGACTTCTTGCCTCTTTGCTTCTGCTCCAGCTCTTGTGTTTTCTTCCTTCATCATCTGACTTTCGTTTTCTTTCTCTTGACCTTGATGGTGATCTTGAATAATGATGTTTCGAGGCTCTAGGAGAAACAGATACATCTGACTGCTCTTTTTTTCTTATCTCTATCTGGGTTGTCTTTTCTGGGGCTAGTCCATCTCTTTCAGTATCACTAGCCGCCACAGTCCGGAGTCCTGGCCGCTAGGGTGGCGCTTCTACCTGCCGCTCTCAACAGTTCTGGTCGCTCTGACTCTTCACCACAGACTGAATGGCTGGGGCAAGAAACCCGGATGCCACAAAGAGGAAGAGGCCCAGTCCTTCGCACTGCTTGCTGGGAGGCAGGAGGGTGGTGATAAGACTTTCCAAAGCAACGTGGATCGAGGTGGTGATTGGTTGTTCTTTTGAAGGGGGCGTGTAAAGCCAGGGAGGAGGGTGGAGTCAAGAATGCACTTTAGGATTGCACAACCCCACCACCGGAAAGGGTCTGAATTCTTTTTTTTAGAGTCTATGTTGTTTATTTCTGCTCTGACCTTTACAATTTCTTTTTTCATACTTGCTCTGGGTTTTTATTTTTGTTTGCTTCCTAGTTCTTTAAGTTGCGAGGTTAGATAGTCTATTATACATTTTTCTTGTTTCTTAAGGTAGGTTTGTAGTGCTATGAACTTTCCTCTCAGGACGACTTTTGCTGCACCCCATACATTTTGTGTTGTTGTGTGTTCATTTTCACTGGTTTCCAGGAAGTTTTTAATTTTTTCCTTGATCTCCTTGGTAATCCATTCACTATTTAATTTCATGTTATTGAGCCTCCATGTGTTTAAATGTTTGGGATGTTTTTGTTGTGATTGATTTCTAGTTTTATGCTATTGTGATCTGAGAAAATGCTTGATATAATTTCAATCTTCTTGAATTTATAGAGACATGGTTTGTGTCCTAACATGTGGTCTATCTTTGAGAATGTCCCATGTGCACTTGTGAAAAATGTGAATTCTGCAATTTTCTATGTAATTATCTGTAGATAGCTATGAAATCCATTTGATGTAGTGCATCATTTAGAGTTTCTGTATTCTTGTTAATTTTTTGTCTAGAGGATCTTATCAAGTGATGTCAGTGGGTTGTTGAAGTCCCCTGCTTTGATTGTATTACTGTCAATTTCTCCTTTGAAGTCCTCCAGAAGTTTTAAATATATTTTGGTGCTCCTATGTTGGGTGCATATATGTTTACCAAGGTTATAGCTTTCTGTTGGATAGATTCTTTCAATATTATGTAGCAGCCTTCATTGTCTCTAGTTATGGCCTTCATTTTGAAGTCTGTTTTATTGGGTATGAGTATTGTTATCCTAGCTCTTTTTTCCTGTCTGATTGCTTGGAAGACTTTTTCCATCCCTTCACTTTCGGCCTATTTGAGTCTTTTGTTCTGAGGTGAGTCTCTTGTAAACAACAAATATATATATATGAGTCATTTGGGTAAAATATCCAATTGTGCCTTTTTTCTTTTTGAGATTTAATTTCTTTTAGTTGTTAATTAAGATGCATTTTAAGCTTAGATTCTACTGTTAGTCCATTGTTTCTTACTCCTCTCTGGATGACCTGTTTGCTCCAACTTACTTTTATACAAATTAAAATGTTTGCATAAAAAATTCCAGCTATGTTTGGGGCAAAATAACTTTACAGTGTCTTTGATCATGACAGACTGAAATTTTTCAATATTAGGTACATCTTTCTAATCCACCATGCTTTGTTTTATAGTCTACTACTTCAAACTGTGTTGTAATCTCTACTGAGGACCACTTAGGTTATATGTGTTGGTCCTTCACAGTCTATCTTTCATATATAAATGTTACAGCATATCAAAATCTTGATAACCATTTTATCATGGTGTTCTTTCTCCCTAGGATGTCTATAGAAAATAAGAGTATCTGTGACATTGCACGTAGCCTCTTCAAAAAACATAAGGTGGAGATTTCTGACTCTATAAACACAACATTTCCTTTCCTTGAATATTTTAATGATCATGGATTCATCACCAATGAAATATACAAAGTAAGTGAGGTTTACTATGTCTCAGTGTCTCAGTCTGGTAAAGAAGCCCCCCACTAAGTTATGCTCTGATGTCCAGGAACCAATCATCAGAGCACAAATAGGCAACTGAGAGTCTCCTACGGGTGGAGACCCTCTCAAGTGTTCTTATGAGATCCTAAGGAAAAGGAGAAGCAGACATTACTAGAGACAGTCCAGGTCCTAACTACAGGAACAGTACTCTGTGGTGACCCCTGGAGTCAGGTGAATAGCCCTGGAGATAGGCTGAATCTGAAGTGAGTGTAATACATAGATATGCCTGATGGAAATTACATGTTCAATATAGCATAAACCAGGAGTTAAAAGTAATTTTAATGAATATATGAATAATTTTAATGCTATTGTTTAATGAAATAACAATTGACACAACATTTGATACCAATGAACATCAATTTAAATACTTAGATCTGAGAACATTAAAATCCACAGAAAATTAATGTCTTGTTAGGACAAATTTGAAAGTAGATGCTTGCTGTTCTTTCTCCAACAGTTTTCAGTTTCCTTTTCTTTTGGTATTTCTGGAGTTTGGGGATTTAGGTTAATTTTAACAAAAGATATAGGTGGAGATACAGAGATGCAGGTTGTCTCTTTCCCTGTGCACAGGCTTCTTTATGGCAAAGTTCACAGAAAATGCCAGGCCAAGCCTGTCCTGGGGAAGGGCCAAGGGTTGTCTAGTGAATAGAACAGCTGCTCATCACCCACAAAGTCTATTCCTGAAACATTTGGCTAGGCTCTGAATGGACTACATCACTTAACTTGGACTCAATTTTGTTCTTCATAATTACTTCCTCTTCCATTCATGTAAACAAGGGTGAGGAGATCAGATTCACTAATGGGTATTAGTTGTTCCACTTCGTAGCCATACAAATATAGAGAAATTCTAAAACTTTATATGAGAATGTACCGATGTCAGGAAATCATACTACATTAACAATAAAATCCCTTTCTATGTCTCTCGTAACTGGAAAGTCTATACTTATATTTTCCCTATTCACTATTTTTAAGGACTCTCTACAGTGTCTTACGAAACGATATGGTATACAAGAAGTCATATATGATGTTCTCACTGAACTGGAGAAGACATTTGACCTATCCCTTCTGAGAGCATTGTTCAGCAAGGTCATCATGAAGAAATACCCAGATTTATATAACATTTATAGAATCTTCAAAACAGGTAATTGGATTTATTGCCTACTTATTGATGTCTGGGGCCGGTTTTTTCCCACAGGTATACACTGAGTTCCTTCCATGTTTACACACCATGCTGGGCAGTGAGGATGTAGCAGTTAACAAAACAGAGATATCATGAGTCTCCAAAGCTTATGATGTAATGGCAATACTGCTCCCACATGTAGGTTTCCATATCTGGGCATTTAGAGTCGCAGGACAACCAGAGCCACAGTGGCATGAGCTTTACTCAGAAGGACAAATGACAGCAAACAGCATTCCAACAGGGCAGTGTTAGGTGCTCCTTTTCTGTGGGACCCTTTGCAGGGGTCTTCACAGCAGGCCACCAAGTTGACTACTATGCACATTCAAATGACAACTTAGCTGTGGGTGCAGGATGCACCCTGATTTAGCCACACGATGCCTAGAGGAGTCAATATATCATGTAATAACTCAGTAGTCATCAGTTTCAGAGACCTCATGAGGGACAGCTGAGTGACAAGAGTCACCACCTTGGAAGAAGCAAAAACAGTTTGTTGTTCACATCTAGTCCTTCCCAGGCCACATGCAATTTACCACCTACCGTCAGTGGTCATTTTTAACTCTGATTTCAGTGCCTGCCTACTAACACAGAAGAGAGGCACCTTCATCAGGTTTCCAGAGTAAAAAGCAAGAAAAATAACTCAAGGTGAAATTTGCTCTTGAAGGAGAAATGGTTTTAACTGATTCTCCACAACAGGTGTGATAGACAATCACATACTCGCCAAACCAATTGTTCTGCCAGAGATGTTTTTGGATACTATGCAGAACTACAGTTTTGATTCTTTACTTCTTTCCTGAGAAGGCGTGATTTTATTCTTTTTTTCTTCTTTATTGATTTTAGAGAGAGGAAGAAAGAGGGAGAGAGAGATAGAAACATCAATGAGAGAGAACATTGACTGGCCGCCTCCTGCATGCCCCCCACTGGGGATAGGGCCCACAACCTGGGCATGTGCCCTAAATGAGGATGGAACTGGCAACCTCTTGGTGCATGGGTCAATGCTCAACCACTGAGTCACACTGGACAGGTGATTTTATACCTTTTTGTTGATTCTCAGTAAAGGAGATGTCCTTCAATAATTTTTGTTTGACTTGCCTAGAAAATGTTGTATTCTATATAGTTTTGGTCTCAAAAAGGTCTCCAAATAACAATAGAGAGTTCACAAGGAAACGACTATATGAACTGAGGATGGCAGATGATAGGGGAAGAAGCATAGACCATTAACTGGTTTGTGTGTCTGCAGAATAAGGACAAATTAGATTACTCTCACAGTGAGAAGCAGACTGTGCAGGTTTGATTCAAAAGGGACACATATGGGGAAAAAAAAGAACTTTGGAAGATCTGGCTTCTTAATCTAAGGATTTGACATTGTTTACCACACAGTAAGGAGATAGTACAGGTCTATGGGGTCCATAAGCACAGGTTTATGGCCCCAGGAGGTACATCAGCCCTGAGGTATTAGGGCTCACTGCTCTCCTCTCTCTCTTCCCTAGACTCCCTGAGGAGACCTACCCCAAGGATTTTGTTTATTTCCTTCCTCCATATGTTTGCTGGGTTACCACATACAGGGTCCGTGGCTGGTGCCATGTTCTTCCCTCTTTGGAGCCTCCCAGGGCCCTGGTCCAGGCCTCTTGGGACGTCCTCCAGTGCCAGGACGTTCATTCCCTGCTTGCAGCTACAGGAAGTGTCCTTCCTCTGTCCTGGGATCTGGGTCCCCCTGGGACATCTGTCTAGTTGCTCCCATGTCCTCTTGTTTGTCTCTTTGGGGAGCACTCGTCCCCCTGGCCTCACGTAGGCAGATGCCTTCTCTTGTCCAACCACAAGTTTAGAGCTTTGTGATTTCTTCCCCTTATTGCATGGAAACCTCTATTGGATCTCTGTTTTTCCTCACAGTTCGAACATTTCAGCAAACACATATCAAAATAAATAATACATTATTTATGTTGATAAATGCTTTCTTGGCCAGATGAATTTTTTACATGAGTAACGAGCTCATGATGTTGCCACAACCCCTTTATCCTGACATTCGAGGCACTTTCTGTGGGGGAAGCGCACGGGCTCCTTTGTTGGGCATCCTCTTTTCTGTCCCAGGAATGAAGGGAGAACTTGCCCATCAGGACTGGGACTCACTGAGCAATGAGTGACCCCAGGGATGGAGATTCCTAAACATGTAACTTGAGATGATGTTGTTATTCTCAGTGGAGGTCTCTAGTTGTCTTCTTTTCTCTTCAGCGATACCAGACCTTGAATTATCCCCAGAATGTGAAATGGAACAGAGGCCTGATGTCCAACTGAGCCTTGAACAAGGTGATTGCGACCAGATAAAAACAGATTCTCATCTGCTAAGAGGAAGGGAGAAAGGGAGGTGGGGCCCCGAGTCCCGAGTGGAGTTTGGGAATCAGGGAAGAACTGTTGAGGAGCATGGAGGAGCCAGGGAGGGGTGTGTGTGATGTCTGACCAGGGACTGATGCTGGAGGAGGAGCTATGACAAGAGATTCTTGGCCCAATAACCAAGACAGAGGAACAGGAACCCAATGTGTCTGAAACCAGATTTAAGCAGAATGCTGACCTGAGGTCATTGTGGTTTGGAGAGACCCTGTAGGAGAAGATCAGCGTGAAGCTGTGCAGAGCTGGGAACTAAGGGCTCAAGGTCAACATCACAGAGGAGATCCTGGATGATAACGGTAGAAGGACTGATTTAAGTGTGGGGGTGCTGTCAAGAGCAGGAGTATTCAGGGAGACGGCAGTCATGTAGGTCACATGGGGAGAGAAGAGAGGAAGTGGTAAGATGTGTGGAGGGGATGTGGGTATTTTGAGAGAGAGGAAGAAGGAGGGAAATGAAAGACACCAGAAAGGGGTAAAGGACACAAGAACAACAGCCATATTATTAAGAGCTCACTTACTTGACATTTACTCTGGCAGGTGTGGGCTCAGGGCTCACAGCTGTCCTTGGCAACAAGTATCACTATCTACCCATTTGCAGAACAGGAGACTGAAGGCAATAGAGACCACGTATGTAGTTAGACTGGGGACATATAAGCAGGATGACCCTTGGCATTCTGAACCCAAAGCCTGTGTTCTTAACCCTCTGCATGCCCAGATGATCTCATGGAAAAGACAGAAACTTGAGACAAATGTAGGGAAACATATGCAGAGAAAGATCCTAGAAAGAGGATTACCAAGAGCTGGAGGAAGTGCAGGAGGATCAGAAACAGAATCCTGATGAAAAGGCCAGCGAGGCAGAGAAACAGACCTGCAGAGGGAGGTGTGGTGAAGGGGGGTAGAAGCCAGGTAACAGTCACGGGTAGCACTGGGGACAAACACAGGTTCCCGATGGCTGTGGTGACAAGGAAAGCCATTGCCGGTTCCATGTGACTCATGGATGATCTCAGCGAGAGGGCCTGACTCAAGCCAGGAGTGCAACTCTGTGTTGATACCTGGGGGGAGGGTGTCCTCAAGTCCTACATTATAAAGATTATAAAGGGATTAGGGGAGAATGTCACAGCCCATACTACAATATCTGAAATAAAGTTCTGATTTCTTCCCCCAGGAACTGTTAAAAAACTGTTGCCAAGCCTGACCTGGCTCTACCAAGATCCCTCAGATTACAATGGTGTGTTGCTGTTGACTGTTCTGTGATTGTTTGCTAATCTTGTCCCATTCCATCTTGTGCTGTGGTGGGCGGGCTGCTTCCCTTTAGTACGGACTGCCCAGAATTGTTCATTCTGGCATCTACAACTTCTCCAAGGACTCACCTAACAGCGTCTTCATACACTGGGGTGCCAGGAAGGGTCGTTCCTCTCATTCTAAAATGCACTTGGTGCCCCCAAGAGAAGCTCCGAGGAACTGTGGATGTGGCAGAAAACGTGCACCAGGGCCCAGGTGCTATGTTAAAACTGTGGGAGTTAATTCTTAAAAATCACCTTTACATAAATTTCTATTATTCGAAAAATAGCATTAAATGAAAAAATCCAAGCTTCACTGCAAAAAATATTTATCAATTTATACACTATGGAAGTTGGTGGAAAGAGAGTAGGAGGGGTCGATGGAATCAATGATGAGCGAAGAAGTTCGCCATGAGGAAGGGGGTGTGCTGCTCCTGTGTGGCTTACCCAGAGATTCATTCCTTATAATTTCCTGCCCCGCTCTGCCCTCTGTCTCTGAAAACAGACCCCTGCGGTCTTGCTCATCAACTCCCTTGCTATTGCTTCCTGCTGGGCTCCTAACCTGGGAGACACCAGCAAGAGATTGGAGAGAGGAACCAAGGGAGAAGCCAGGTTTTCCCCGTCACTGTCTTGAGCAGCAATTCAGGCAGCATCTACATCTCCCATGACTCTACCCCCCACCAAGCAGGCCAGCCATGGTCCAGCCTCTGCCTAGCTAGTGACCTTGGCACATGAGCTCACCCTAATTCCCTCCCACCGCTTCCTGTTGACTGTTGTTCAGGTGGCCACATTTCTCCATCTGGACTTCTCAGCTCTCCCATCAGCTGTATAACTAATCCCCTGGGTTAAATCCTCTCTGCTCCACAAGCTTATAGAGCTTTGCATTTTTCTGTTGGACCCTGATTGATGCAGGGGGCAGATAATATATCTATGAATCACAATGTGGTTTAGGTATAGCCCCACCTGAAAATGAATTCGCAGAACTGCTCCATGAAACACAACTGATAAATGGGAATGAAACAATATCTACAACCAGTGATGACAAGAGTGTACTAGAAACCCAACAAGCAAATGAACAATGTGCCCAAGAGTCTGAGCCAGCAGGTAAGACTGAGTGCCTGGCTTGATGAGTGTGAAGGGGAACTGGCAGGGGGAGGGACTCAGTGTTGTGGGTAGAGTCTCAGGGCAGACTGTGGTGATGACTGAAATGCTAGTAATGAAGAAAATATAAAGAAAACAAGACTGATACAGAAGAGGCATTCACAGGTCACGTGAATTACTAAGAAACAGATATAGAACAGGAGAAAGTAGGAGCCATAACTGAGAATGGATAAACTGAAAAATCAGGTGGGGCAGCAGGGCCAGGTCCACGGGGAGGCAGGGAGACCCTGGGACACATGTAAGGAGGAGCTCCCTCTCGGTGCCTTCTTGTGTCCTGGGCGCCTACTTTGCTTCACTCTATACCATGTTGGGCCCTGACAACACTGATAAAAAAAAAAAATGTAGAGAAAACAAGTATGAAGAGAGAAAAATGCAGAGGGAAATGAATACCAATAAGTAGAAAAAATGGGAGGGAGACACAAAGAGAACTATGTCGAGAATGAGTCCAGGACAATGAATGAAGAGCTGGTAGAGAGTGGACCAGGCAGAGAGAGAGAAGACACATCATTGTCTAACTGGAGGAGGGAGTCACCACAAACAAGGCCGAAAGGGGTGTTCCTAATACCATTGAGCAGGTAAGGTGTCCACAAAATAAAAATGGCCCTGGAACCCTCTCAGATAAAAATAGGCCTCTCCCCAGGAAATTAAAACCAAAACCCAGAGTTAAGAGAGGCACAAAGGAAGGCCAGAGTTGAGCAGTTGGAAAGGGCAGGGGTGGGGGGAGCTTCCCCCACCAGTGGAATTACAGAGAGAATGGCTTTTTGATTGTAGTGGGGTGCTCACTCCCTTAGGGAAAACTAATGTAGTTTTTCACTTATCATAATTTTGTCTAGGAGAGGAGCTCTTCCACCATGTAAACCAAATCAATTCCCGTCCTGGAGATCTGATGAATCTAAAAAAGGAAAAGCCATTTGTAAATTCAGGGGTTGAATGGCAGGCCCACGCAAGGATTGATGGTGACCGAGCGTCTGCTGCAATAGGCAAGGCTGTCTGAGAGAATCTGTGATGTGAATCCTGGACCCGGGCAAGGATGTGGGACACAGTCCTGGTGGCTTTGTTAGAGCTAGGATGGGGAGGGAACCACCACCTTGTGCACAGAAATCAGCAGAAAAATGTCCCCAGTAATTGGAAAATTATCAAAACCAGAAATGGTTGGTGTAAGTATTGATGTCAGAGAGTATTTTTCTGTATTCAAAGAGAGGAAGGTATTGGGATAAAAGTTAAACAAAAGGGAAAAATTTCAGAGAGCCCAGATATTCAAGAAAGGAGATGAAAAAAAACATACATGAAGACAAGGAGAGGTAGTATAAAGAGATATTTTGCCAGAAACAAGGCATAATTAGCAAAAATGAGCTGCACCTAGAGGAAAGTGAAGAAAGAGACTTTGCTTGGGGTCAAGGGCATTCTATGATGCAGTGTGCAGATGATGTATCATTGAGTTGTGCACTTGAAATCAATAAACTAATGTCATCCCAATAATTTCAATTAATCAATTTATTAATTTAAAATACAGAGTTTGATTCCATTTTTGAAATTAGGCTTTATGTATGTATACTTCTCTCTGATCCATCTTTCCAGCTCAATAAATATTTAGATATGCTTGGAATGATACAAAAAAAAAAAAGAATGAAAGAAGAGGTAGAACGAGGGCGGGGATCTGAAGCAGACAAAGGATGGAGGTAGGAGGTATGATGAGTGTGGGTAAGAAGGGCGCTGCAGGATGGGCAAGCTGCCCGCTGTGCATGAAATCCACCACCTCTGGGTAGGACCTGGAGCAACCTGAGGGTCACACACATCAGGCACAGACCAGGGGGACCTGAGTTAACTTAGTTTCTAGGTCTTCCAAGTGCTCTTGTTATGGGGTTAGCTATCCATGGGGTCCTTGGCCCCACCCTGAAACACTAAGTGGTTTTTTTCTTCTCTGCAGTGATCAGCAGTGATGAAGATGAGCCCACCAAAGCTTTCACTGGGGAACAAAGAAGGAGTCCTGGTAAGGAGGTGGGAGCACAAGGCTTGGGCTGCAGGGACCTAAATTAAGAGCTACTGTTTCCTGAGGCATCAGTTCTGAGTTCATTCTGTACCATGCATCCAGTTTATCCTGGAATCCCATTCTCTGATTTTATTTTATTTGACCTTCTGGGATGTACAAGAAAATAAGAAATCATTATATTTATATTTTTTGAAGAGGACCTATTAATTCATAGGTCCTATTTATCAACCTTTGCACTCATCTATTGATTATATGGTAGAAATAGACTAGCAAAGTAATGAATTTGTTTAAAAATTAATTCTATGACTATAAAGTGTTGGATTTATACAGTAATTTATTTAGAGAATAGAAACCTAATGTTCCTTTATTGGAAGGTCATATTGTCATCTGATCGCAGACTTTGAATCAGGTCTGAAGACAAGTCATCCAACGCTCTAGTGTTAGCAGAAATAAAGCCGTAGGATAGGTTTCTGAAACCCAGTGTGTTGTTTTTGACAGAGTTCTCCAGCAAGTCATGACATACAGAGTGACTATTCAAGGGACCTTTGCAAATTAGTGTCTTACTTTTTCCTTTACAACAACCCTGAGGAGTACGCAGGATGGATATTGTTGTCCTTGTTTCTGGATGAGAAAACACAATCACATAAACATTTCAAGGTCTTCCACAAAGTCTCACAGAGATAAAGGGAAAGACAAGACTAGCTTCCTGGATTCTGGGTTATTTCCTTTGTAAAACAGGAGCTCAAAATGGTTGTTTCCTCAATCCCCTGGGCAGCATGAGTGGTCCTAAGCTCTGCAGCTCTTTAGTGTACAGAGTGCTGATGGGTTTTCCCTGCCTACTTTCTCAGAGAATATTGGAAACATGTCTATTTAGGAAATCACACTAGGAAAAGACCTAAAAACATAACAATGTTACCTGGTGTTGATGTTACAAAAGAGCAATATTATAAATAATACTTTTGTTCTAATAGCTCACTATATCTATTAATGTAAAGGTACGTTTGCTTTAGTTTTTAGAGAGTACACATTCTGACTTGTGTCTTAGTGTAAGCAAAGTGCTCGGGAAAGTGGTCCTGTGTTGAGCTCAGACACAACAGAAGATTATTTCAAGGGGCACCAAAGGGTAGAGAAGGCTCTCTATCAGCAAGCTTCTCAACACAAGGATTCCAAGATATCCCCACAAAGAAACAGCAGATGGAAGAAGTGTAAAATGACAATAGAAGGGTAAGAGAAGGAAGAGAGAGAAGTGTAGGAAGGTAAGGTTCACACAGAGCAAGGGGCCCCTTGCCCGTGATTTCCAAAGGGTTTTAAAAGTAGAGGGGAGAGTCTCTATTTCACAAAGTTATTTTGTGAAGCAGCCAAGTAAAAGATCTACCTTCTTCAATACCAGATTTCTAAGAACACATTGGAAGCGAGGCAGAGCTAATAATTAATACAATTACAGACCAGAACACAAATCCATAAAGTCCCATGTAAAAGAAGAAAAAGAATGCAGTGCAAAATACAGAGAGCCAAAAGAAAGCAAAGAAGCTCTGGCCGTGTAGGTCAGTTGGTTGAGCATCTTCCCATGCACCAAGAGGTCACCAGTTTGATTCCTGATCAGGGCACATGCCCAGGATGTGGGCTCGATCTCCAGTAGGGGGCGTGCAGGAGGCAGCCAATGATGTTTCTCTTCCTTCCTCTCTCTCTAAATCAATAAAGAACACTCTTTAAAATAAAAAAGAAAGCAGAGAAGCGCATTGAGAGAGAAATATCTTAGTCCCAGGCTTAGGGTAGAGTGTGGGATAAAATACTGACCTACATATCGAGTGAATACAAAAGGCAGATCATAAAGATCTGAGAGAGGGATATTCTAGCCCTGGATTTTCAGAGCTTCCCAAGTTTTTACTCTGTTGGTTACTTTGTCATGCAACGAGACCTTCAAGAAACATCTGTTCCTTCTGCAGGGAGAAATCTTGAAGGGGCTTCAGGAGCCTGTAGCTCTGCAGGAAGAAGTCTTGAAGGACATTCAGGAGCCTGTAGCTCTGCAGGAAGAAGTCTTGAAGGGGCTTCAGGAGCCTGTAGCTCTGCAGGAAGAAGTCTTGAAGGGGCTTCAGGAGCCTGTAGCTCTGCAGGAAGAAGTCTTGAAGGACATTCAGGAGCCTGTAGCTCTGCAGGAAGAAGTCTTGAAGGACATTCAGGAGCCTGTAGCTCTGCCGGAAGAAGTCTTGAAGGGGATTCAGGAGCCTGTACCTCTGCCGGAAGACGTCTTGAAGGACATTCAGGAGCCTGTAGCTCTGCGAGAAGTCTTAAAGGGGCTTCAAGATTCTGTGCAGAGGTGAAGCATCCAGGAGCCTTTAGCTGCACTCCGAAAAGTGATCCTAATAAGAAGGGTAAGGACTACCGTTGTTTGGCTCCAGGACGTCAGGAGTCTGAGTTCCCTGAACACACACCAAGGCCCGGCAGCCTGTTCCTACCTTGATCTAATGCCATTTTGAAAACTGCAAAGAATAAAATAAACTAACAAACAAAACAGAAACAGACTCATAGGTACAGGGAACAAACTGAGTGGTGTCAAGGGGGAGGAACGTTTGGGGGACTGGATGAAAAGGTAAAGAAATTAAGAAAAGAAAAAAGAATCTCATACATAGACGCAGATAACATGGTGATTACCAGAGGGAAAGTGGAGGGGGGAGATGATGGAAGAAGACTCTACTTGAGGTGGTGAGCACACAATACAATATAGAGATGATGTATTGTAGAATTGTATACCTGAAACCTGTATAATTTTGTTAATCAATGTCACCTCAATAAAAATAAAAAATAAAATAAATAAAACTACAAAGAAAGAAATCACTATAAATTCAAGCTTAACAAGATAGCTCTAGTCGGACGGCATTGTGTCTCACTCCATGTTCTCAGACGTGTCGTCCCTCAGAGTAGTGGGTCACAGTGATGTCCCCACTCACCTCCTATTCTCTACAGAGCAGAGATAGAGGGGAGGTCAGCTACTGGTCAAATTTTTCATAAACCTGTTCAAAATTCAATACACTCTATTCTCTAATTATTGACAGAAGGAAAAGCTTCCAGTTATTACTATCAAATTTTATTGATAGCTTTTGACAGATGACCCCCAATATAACATTAGCCTATATTGTGATATTTAAAGATGTCTTTGCAAAAAAGATATCTATTTATGTTTACATAAAAGTTAGGACAGATAACTGTTGTTTCTCCCATTCCAAGTTGGAGAACTATCAGTTTGTTCTCTGCATCTATGAGTTTTTAATGACCTTTACACATCTCAGTCCAATACTGGACTCCTACTTCTCAGTTCAGTAGGTTTTTAGTTCATTTAGAAGAAAGAGAGAAACAAGAGATCAAACATCTTAATAAACTCAAGCCTTCTGCAATATAAATCATCCTAAGATCTGCAACTTTTATTTACTAATTTCTGTTTTCTCACCACCACCTGTTTTTTTTCCCTAGGTACCATGGATCTTGGAAACAACTCTACTTTAGGAAAGGCCAAGAAAAAAATAAGTAAGAGTGAATAAAATTTTACTTGCTTTTGATATGAGAAAATAGTTTTAAAATACCAGAGTCTCATCATTATTATTATTTATAACATTATTTTTCATTTGGATTGCTTCTCATGTCCTAATCCCCTAATCCTGTAACCTGTTATCTTACATGGCAAGTGCACTTTGCAGATTGATTTATTTTATTAATTATTTTTATTAATTTATTTTTGTTACAGATGTTTCTCCTTTTTCCCCCATTGAAACCCTCCTCACAATCCTTCCACCCCCGCCCCATCCCCAACTTTGTTGTCTATGTTCATTGGTTATGCATACATATAAGTTCTGTGGTTTATCTCTCCCACCCAGCCCCCACTATCCCCTCTTCTGAGGTTTGTTAGTCCATACCCTACTTTTATGTCTCTGGGTCTATTTTGTTCACCAGCTTGTTTTGTTCATTATATTCCACAAATAAGTGAGATCATGTGATATTTATCTTTCTCTGCTTGACTTGTTTCGCTTAGCATAATACTCTCCAGGTCCCTCCATGTCGTTTCAAAGGATAAGACCTCTTTCTTTCTTACTGCTGAATAGTATTCCATTGTGTATATGTACCAATGCTTTTTCATCCACTAATCTACTGAAGGACACATGGGCTATTTCCAGATCTTAGCTATTGTAAATAGTGCTGCTACGAACATGGGGGTACATATATTCTTTCTGATTGGTGTTTCAGGCTTCTTAGGGTATATTTGTAAAGTGGGATCACTGGATCAAATGGCAGTTCAATGTTTAATTTTTTGAGGTAACACCATAGTGTTTTCCATAGTGGCTGCACCAGTCTGCATTCCCACCAGCAGTGTACTAAAGTCCTCTTTTCTCCATACCCTCGCCAGCACTTGTTGTTTGATGATTTGTTGATGGCAGCCATTCTGACAGGTGTGAAGCGATACCTCATAGTTGTTTTAATTTGCATCTCTCTGATGATTAGTGATGTTGAGCACTTTTTCATATGTCTCTTGGCCATTTGTATGTTCTGTTTGGGGAGGTGTCTCTTTAGGCCCTCTGCCCACTTTTTAATTGAGTTCTTTGTCTTTTTTTTGTTGAGTTGCGTGAGTACTCTATATATTTTGAAGTGAGTACTCATCTGACGTATCATTGGCAGTTATGATCTCCCATATAGTGGGTTCCCTTTCCATTTTGATGGTTGTTTCTTTTGCTGTGAAGAGCTCTTTTGTTTGATGTAGTCCCATGTGTTAATTTTTTCCTTTGTTTCTCTTGCCTTAAGTGTTGTATCAGTGAAAATTCTGCTGTGTATGATGTCTGAAATTTTTTTGCCTACATTTTCTTCTAGGAATTTTATGGATTCACAAGTCACATTTAAGTCTTTTATCCATGTTGAGTTTATTCTTGTGAATGGTGTAAGTTGGTGGTCTAGCTTTATTATTTTGAGCATGTAGCTGTCCAATTTTCCCAACGCCATTTGTTGAAGAGGCTATCTTGACTCCACTGTATGCTCTTGCCACCTTTGTCAAATACTAATTGAGCATATTGTCTTGGGTCAATTTCTGGGTTCTCTTCTGTTCCATTGATCTATCTGCTTGTTCTTGTGCCAGTACCAGGCTGTTTTGATTACAGTGGCTTTATAGTATACCCTGATATCTGATATTGTGATTCCCTCCTACTTTGTTCTTCTTTTTCAATATTGTTGTGGCTATTTGGGGTCTTTTTTGGGTCCATATAAACTTTTTAAGTATTAGTTCTAGTTCTGTGAAATATGTCATTGGTATTTTTATGGGGATTGCGTTGAATCTTTAGATTGCTTTGGGTAGTATAGATTTTGATGATGTTAATTCTTCCAATCCATGAACAAGGTATGTGCTTCCACTTTTTTTATATCTTCCTCTATTTCTTTTCTCAATGACCTATAGTTTTCTGTGAAGTGGTTCTTTACTTCTTTGGTTAAGTTTATACCTAGGTATCTTAATTTTTTTGCCATGATGGTAGATGGGATTTTTTTTTTTTTTAGTTTTTCTCTCTGTGAGTTCTTTGTTGGTGTATAGGAATACCGTCAATTTCTTAACGTTAATTTGTATCTTGCCACTTTGCCAAATTTATTTATTAAGTATAGTATATTTTTATGGTGTCTTTAGGGTTTTCTATGTACAATATTATGTCATCTGCAAATAATGACAGTTTCACTTCCTTCTTTCCAATTTGGATCCTTTTTATTTTTTCTTCATGTCTAATTGCTATGGCTAAGACTTCCAGTACTATGTTAAATAAGAGTGGCAAAAGTGGGCATCCCTGTCTTGTTCCTGTTCTTAAGGGAAATGCTTTCAGTTTTTGCCCATTAAGTATGATGTTGGCTGTAGGTTTTTTATATATGGCCTTTATTATGTTGAGAGATGATCCCTCTAATTCCCAGATTGCTGAGCGTTTTTATCAGAAATGGGTGCTGGATTTTGTCAAATGCTTCACTTTGCAGATTTAATTCAACTGGGAATCTCAAAATGGGGGAAATTATCCTGGATTGCCTGGGTGACCCAATATACTCCCATAGCCCTTGAAAAGTGGAGAGCCTTCTTTGGTTGTGAACAGAGGGAGAAGTAACTGTGGAAGAATGGTCAGAGAGAAGCAACATTGCTGGTTCTGTGCATAGAGGAAGGGAATTGGGAATGTGCGTGACATTAGGAATTAGGAAAATCAAGGAAACACATTGTCCCCTACAGCCTCCACAAAGGAATGAAGGTCACTAAAAACTTGACTTAAGTCCAGTGAGGTCATGTCAGAATTCTAACTGACATTAATTGTAAGATAATACATTTGTGTTGTTTTAAGCCACTATTTATAGTAAATGGTTATGTCAGCAATATGGAAATAATACAGACTTTGTTTTTCAAAAGTGGGTTTTGGCTATAAAACATTCCTAAAAATGTGATAATGGCTTTGGTCCATGGGCAAAGGCTGGAAGAATTTTAAGGAGAATGATTGAAAAAAAAAAGCCTAGGTTGCCTTGAACAGTTGGTAGAAATGTGGATTCTGAAGACTTAGTGAGGACTCAGGAGGGAGGAACATGGGAGAGAACACTTGTGTTGTTTAAAACAATACATAAATAAAGCATATTGAACAGCACAAATATGCACAAACATGGAGGTTAAAGGTGTGACTGATGAGGGCTCAGAAGGAAATAAGGAACAAATTTTTGGAAACTGGAGGAAGAGGATCCTTATTATGTAGTGACAGAATGCATAGCCAAATCCTGTCCTGCAGATATGGGGAAAGCAGAACTTTCTGGACCTACACTAAGGAGGTTTCTAAGTGATAAAGATGCAGCTGGGGTTTTTTGTTGGTTTTTGTTTTTGTTTTTGTTTTGCTGCTCACAGTAAAAGGTGAGAAGAACTGGATCAACTGAAGGGAGAACTGCTCAACAAAGAGGAATCAAGATTTGATTCGGATTGTTCTTAGTTTACTCAGGTTGCAAAAGATGCTAAAATTAAGATTCACTCTGCAGTGACCAAGAATGTGTCTGTATGGCATTTTACTAGAGCCACAGAAGCAATGGAAGGTCAGAGTATTGTCACAGAAAGGATATTTGATGAGATTAAGTATGTGTCTCATAGATCCCCTCAGCCATCTCGGCAGAAGCCAAAAATAGATACATGATTATATAGGAAAGATTTGTGGAGGAGCTTCTTGTGTAATGGAGCAAGTCCTCATGACACATGTGGGAGACCCATAAGGTTCTTGAGAATTTTATACCAACCAAAACAGCGACATCCATGTCTAATCCTTGGAACCTGCAATCTGTTTCTTTATATGGGGGAATGTTAATGGTCTTGAGATGAGGGGATTATACTGGATAATCTAGGTGGTCCCAATTAAATCATTAAATTATATAGATGCTTAAAATCAAAAAAACTTTCCTGCTGTGCAGAGAGGGATTTGTGTCTGAGGAATAAGGATCAGAGAGATGTAATATGGCTGTCTTTGAAATGAAAGCAGCCCGGCTGGTGTGGCTCAGTGACTGAGCATCAACCCAGGCACCAAGAGGTCGCTGGTTCCCAGTCAGGGCACATGCCCAGGTTGTGGGCCTGATCCCCAGTGGGGGCATGCAGCAGGTGGCCAATCTATATTCTCTCTCATCGATGTTTCTATCTCCCTCTCTCTCCCTTCCTCTATAGTCAATAAAGAAAAGAAATTTTTTTAAAGAAATGAAAGCAGAAGGCAGTGAGTCAAGAGATGTGGGCTCTTAGAACTGGGAAAGGTAAAAATGGATTATTTCTTATGATAGCCTCCAGAAAAGAACAAAGCCCTGTGGGCACCGTGGTTTTTGTAAGATTTGTGTCAGATTTCTGACCTTTAACAACATTTTATGTTGCTTTAGGCCACAAAATGTATGGGAATACATTACATAAATGGGAAACCACAACATTACAGCCACAACAGAGAACTACCACCTTCCATAAGACCAAAAAACAAACAACAAATGAATATTTTACCTTTATATGATTAGTTTTCATCATTTTATACACTCATCATTTTTTCTGTCCTTTGGTTTTACTTTTTGTCAAGTGGAATTAATGCCTGGTTCTTTTAGTGAGGGTGTCTAAGTGGCAAATCTTCCAAGTGTTCTAAGTGCAAATAAGCCTTCATTTTGAAATCTTTTTTTTAATTTTTTATCAAGATTTAAAATTCTATGTCAGCCTGGATGGTGTGGCTTACTGGGTTGAGCATTGATTGTCCCTTGGACTGAGGTCTGGGTTTGATTCCCGGTCAGGGCACAGGCCCAGGTTGCAGGATCAATCCCCAGTAGGAAACCTGTAGGAGGCAGCTGATCGATGTTTTAATCTCTACAATATCAATAAAAACATATTTTAAAAATTCTAGGTCAACGTTTAATTCTCCTCCGTATACTAATATGATTACTACATTGTCTTAGAATCTACTGTGCGGCTGATGAATTTTTTTTAGTATTTTAAATGCAATTTTTGGTTAATAAGCTTTCTTTTCTTGATGACATCTTATTTGTCAACTGTCGAATCATGAAGATTTTAAGGCTACTGAAAACTTGAAAAATGTTAGCATATACATCAAAATACCTTCTTATCGGTTCACAATTAACATGTACTGTGCTTACTTTATCTCATTTCAGGCCATCTATCCATTTCCCTATCCATCCACTAACCATCCTATAAGTTTAAAACATTTTGTTTCTTTATTAATTTTAGAGAGAGAGTAAAAGAGAAGGAGAGAGAGAGAAACATCAATGAGAAAGAACATCTGTTGGTCGCCTCCTGCATGCCCCCCACCGGGGATTTGGCCCATAACCTGGGCATGTACCCTGACTGGGAATTGAACCGGTGACCTCTTGATACATGGGTCGATGTTCAACCACTGAGCCACACTGGCTGGGCCAAGTTTGAAACATTTCAAAGCTGCAGACATCGGTACACTTTCCTCCAAACACTTCAGCATGCATAGTATTAACTAGATTCACTGTTTTTGCAGTACATTTCTTTGCCTTTTCAGATAAAATTTGTAATGAGATGCACAAATATTATCAGTTACGATTAAGGCATTCTCATGTAAAATTCAAATCTTTATCAAGATACAGAATACAACCATCACCCTGGAACTTAAGGAAATGTCTTCTGGAGAGAGGAGGGAGACTCGACCATCCTGAAATACTTCAGGAGGGAAATGTCCTCTATTTTATACTGGTCAGGAACATTAACTCCAGCTTCCAAGGATGTTTGTTATTTAAAAATCCTTGAAAATGTACTCTGAGGCATGTGGAAATGCCACAGAAAATTGCCTCCCAACAAATTCACCTCACACAGTGGCGTCTGTAAATTTCCCCAGAGGAACACCACTCCACCAGCCACCATGATTAATTTCTTTTTTTTTTTATCCTCACCCGAGGACATTTTTTCCATTTTTTGTTCAGGTAGAGTGGGAGGGAGAGAGGAAGAGAGAGAGAGAGAGAAACATCGACGTGAAAGGGACACATCGAGTGGCTGCCACCCGCACGACCAACCAGGGCCGGGGACAAACTGCACCCGAGGTACATGCCCTTAGCGGGAACTGAACCCGGGCCTCTCTGGACCGCAGGCCGACGCTCTAACCGCCGAGCCAAACCGGCCAGGGCCACCATGATTAATTTCACCAGTGGAGGCTGAGACCCAGCACATTCGATTTGTTTCCTTCAGCATTGGACAGATTTCCTAAACCATACTTGTTTCAGGTCTCCCGTGGGCACCTCTGAGGTACAAGTCACCATGTTTCTATCAGAGAGGCAAGTGAATACAGTGCCCATGAAAGGGTAGTATTTACATTGAGGTCTGTAAGGAAATACTCATCATCCAGGGGGAAGGGGGACATTGCCTCCAATGTGGGCCACTGGCCAGTTATAAGTCTTAGAGTCGTTTCTGTTCATTGTGTCTAGTCCTTGACGAGGCAGGATGGGAAAGGAACACAGCCTGGGGCCAGTCCATCCAATCTGCCCTCTGTGTCCATGACACCAACCAGATGATACTTGTCTTCCCACAATCCTCCACCAATAACTAAGGATCAGTGTGGGGACAATGTCCAGAGATACTCTGCATGTGATGAGCAGACGCTGACACCAGCCCCTGTGTTTTTGTATCTGATGCAGGGCAACATACTCAGCATCTGTGTGGTGGAGGAGCTGGACCAAGGCGGTGTCCTTCTGGAAGGACGCCTCGGGGCAGTTCTGAAAGACAGAAATCATTAATGCCTCTCCATTTTCATGCCTCCTAGGTGTTTCCTCCTCAGGTGTCTGGATCTCTGCTCTTCCTTCACTGCCTTCACAAAAATCTGCGTGTACATACCGCTGGCGGTCACTTCATCTGTCTTTCCAATAATCTCCTATTGTCACTCAGACATCTCATCCAGAAGGGTCAGACACAAGCAGGGCAAAGGCATTTCCAAAACGTAACTAAAATTAAACTGAATCCTTTAGGCCAGGGGTTCTCAACCTGTGAGTCGCGACCCCTTTGGGGGTCCAACGGCCCTTTCACAGGGGTTGCCTAAGACATAACAGAAGCAAAATCACAGTTTTGAAGTAGCAACAAAAATAATTTTAGGTTGGGGGTCGCCACATGAGGAGCTGTATTGAAGGGTCGCGGCCTCAGGAGGTCGGGACCACTGCTCTAGGCCCTCTGAAGAGTGGGGCAGAACAAGGCAGTGGTATCAGCAATGCTCAGAACAGAATCCAGACTATCAGAATTGGTCTATACAACGCCATTAATCTCCCACCACTTTTGTCCTGATCACAATGCAGGAAGAAGCTGATCCCTTTCTGCCTTCACTGGGCACAGCTAACTTTACTGACCAAAGTGCTATAATAGAAAAGAGTGTGGACAGAGGAAATGAGGTCATAGAGTTGGATGATCAGTGTATTGGGAATAGCTTTTAATAAAGGACACACCATTGTCAGACTCAGATGGTCCAGCCAGCCATGCAATTTGCAGATGGTTCTAGAGTTTCCTGAGCTCCTCTTTCATCTCTGGAGAGAGCTGATGTGGGGGGAAATGGAGCAAAGCAGAGAACACAAGTAGCAGGCAGACACCGTCTCCGTTAGGTTACCCCACCATTATCCTCTTGCTCACTGCGTCGGAGCTCAAACTGGGAGCCACAGGCACAGTCTCCGACTTTGTCTCCAGCTACCTGACTGCAGGGAAATAGCAGAGCTGGGGAGCTTCCTGCAGCACATGACAGCAGCCCTGTGTTTCCTTGTCATGTAAGAAGCTGGGGGAGGGGGTGACTGGACTGGGAGTTAAGACAATTTTATTGATGCCTGGTGTCTCTGGTAAAGCACTCTATTTGCTGTGAAATTTGAGACATAAAATCAAGGTACTCACTCTGGTTATGCATCAACAATGCCACTGAAAAAAGACTTTGGCACTCTGGAGATGTGTGGAATAAAGTTTCCTAAGTACCCCTATGTCTTTATAGAAACTACCTCAATAGAGGAGGAAGTTGTCCATGGACCGTTGTAAAATGAGATAGAATGAAGACACTTCTCTTTCAGGAAAAAGAAAGCATGAAGAAGAAAATGTGGATTTTAGCTCTGACGTACTTCCCGTGACCTGTGGTGACATAAAAGGCATATTATACATGAAGAGATTGGAACAAGGTGGGTTTGATGGTTCAGTTTAATTTATAATTCCTATATGAAGAAATCATAAAAAGCATGGAATTACCCATCATTCAAGGAATGACGGCCCCGCTGAGGCCTGAAAGTAGGAAGGGACCCCTAAGGTGAGATTTCCATACTTTCAGACATGGTGCATATTCCGTGCTCACTCCCACGTGGCAGTGTCCATGAGGATGCCCACGGAACCAAGGAGACCTGCAGGAACATCAGTCTATATTTATCAGATATAAAAGGAAAGAGGCCTTTGACCATCCACCTTCTTATCCTATACCCTTTCTGGGTCATCATCACCAGGGCAGGGTGTTTGAGGTCGTGAGATCACAGAATTTACAGTCAGAAACCTGAGTCCCGGCCTTAGCTGTGCCAAGAGTGGCTGAATAAAGAAATCTTCCTGAGCCTGAAATTTCTCATCTAAAAATGGGATAATAATCTGATGTGACTTTCGGAGTCAATTCACATCATCAATATAAAATGTTTTGTGATTTTTAAATTATAAAGCTTTGCAATAATTGTCTATGATAATGAACTTAGTATGAGATGTCTCTTAAATGACTAGTGAATACCAATTAACATCAATGTTTAAATCATAACTATTTTTTAAACAGCTTTACTGAGATGTAACTCACATATCAGACAATTCACCACTTATATCATTGTTTGTTCCTTTTGTATGTTCATGAGATTATGCCACCACCATCACCATCTAATTGTTGAACGTTTTTGTCCCTTAATAAAGGCAATGCCATGTCTCTCAGTAGTCAATGCTCATTCCCCCCTCACCCCAATGCCCAGACCTAAGCAACCACCAATCTATTTTCTGATCTATAAACTTGCTTATTTTAAGCATTTCATATCAATTAACTCATATAACATGTGCCTTTCTATGACTGGTTCTTTCACCCAGCATAATGTTTTTAAGATTCACCCATGTAGTATGATGTATTATATTTCCTGCTTATTGCTGCCAAATAACATATTTCATGGTATAGATATATCTATCCCTTTGGCTATTAAAAATAGTGCTGTTTTGAGCATTGATGTGAAGTTTTTGTGTGAGCGTATTTTTTTTCAAGTCTTTTGGGAATATACCGAGGAGTAGAATTGCTAGATTATGTGGTAATTCTATGTTGAACTTATTGAGGAAAACCAAACTATTTTCCACAGTATTGCACCAGTTTATATTCCCACCAGCAAAGTCTCAGGGCTCCAATTTCTTTACATTCTCACTAACACTTGTCTTTTTTATTATGGCCATCCTAATGCACGTAATGTAGTATCACATTGTGATTTTGATTTCCATTTCTCTAATAACTAATGTTGTTATGAATATCTTTTATGTATAACTTAAAATTTCCACTGAATATTTCACAATGATTTTAATCCATGATTTCAGGCATGGGAAAATCTCTGTTCAATAATGCCATTAAACCTAGATGAAAAGAATGGTGTAATACGGGGCAGAGATGTTACCATGGTGCCATTCTGAGCAGCAGAGCCTCACCTGAGAACTCAGTCCCATTTGGGTTTCTGCCTCCTCATTGCCCCAGGCCACCTGAGAGTCTGGCCTATTCTCCATCTCCCAAAATAACAAATTGAAATCCTCACATTGTTTTGAACCACTTGCTTTTCCTTACAGCTGGTTTTGGAATACTTTTATAATGTTGATTTTGATGCTAATGACCCATTTTTTTGTTGTTGTTGTTGCATGAAGATCAAAGAAATGTGTGCACAAAGCAGGAAATCTCCTTGGAGGGGATTTACAGGCTGGGTCTGGGGATTCTGAAGTCTGAGAGGGGAAGCCAGACTCTTCTGCTAGAGATCTTGAGCCCAAATTGGGTGATTGCAGATCCAGTGTGATGGGAGGCCAATGTCTGAGCTCTGATAACAAAGAGGGTTCAGGATCAATGTACCCCCATCTTACAGGAACCACAATGAAGTGTATAAAAACCCAGGATGGAAATTGGTTCAACCCCATTGAATTTCAAGTCACAGCAGGCTATCAAAGATCAGGGGATTGGAAGAGAAAGGTGTACTGCGGTGGGAAAACCCTACGAAACCTCATTAAGGTATTCAAGTGATGGGACTGGGATAGGCCTTCTTTTGTTGCAAAGATAAGGTCACTATTTTCTCATCAAATATATGGTGAGTTATGGCTAGAGACCTGAGGTCCCTGACTTTATCCTTTTCTAGGGGAGAGTTGCCCAACTACCCAATGTCACCCTCTCTGAATATTCCGACTGACTTGCCTTGTCTTCCCTTCCCTGGGGCCCTGGAATCCACTATTAAGGTCCTTCTCACTTTGGTTTATAGTTATCCCTTCACACAATCCCTGTTCTTTCTACGTCTAGGGTTTGCACATCTTTGTGTGCCCAACACTGTCCAGAGTGTCTAACACCCTGTAGGTGTGGGATCCATGTGTGCTGGTTGAATAGTCCTGGTGTGAAGATGTAAGCTTGAGTGGCACTTGTGAAATAGAAAGGAGGTGAGCGGTGCCAAAGAGATTATGAAGGAAAATCTCTTAATATTTAGGAAAAAAACAAAAGATCAAGGAAAGTGTCCTAAAGGTGATTTTCTGGGTAGCACTGATGAATTCTCAAATAAGGTGTGGAGAGGGAGACCTCACCTTGGTTTGAGCTGACAGTGAGCATATAAGAAATATTTATGACAAGGTTGGAATGCCAGACTCACAAAACATGAATGCAGGTTGACCATATACTTGGATCTTTTTATCTTTCAGAAAGGAATACTACCTACACTTCCAAGAGTTTATGGTAGAAGAAGAGAGGTGATTATCACTTTATACAAGTTCTTATTACATAACTGGCTTTATATGTACATCTCTTTTATGGTTTCTCGATTGTGTGATTATCCTTAATTTTCCTCTTCTACTCCTCCCAGCTATTTTTTGGTTTTTTGCATGTGCTTTCAGAGATGCTACTTTTAACTTTGGGTATGCAAGGTCATCAGTGAATGGTACGCCATCTGAGATTGGGATAATAAGGAACCATCCAAATAGCCTCATAGAAGAGTTTTAGCTATAGATGCAGATGTTGTAAGGGTGTCAAACGTAAGGCAAACATGATTATAATTTCTTAATAAGGTCACAGGATCTTCAACTCAATCCCAGATCTTGTTCATATTTTTTACACCCTCTTCTATGTAATAAAATGTACAAAATTCTTCATCAGTTGCAAAGTATTTGCCTTTCGTGAGGATGGTGCTTTTGCACAGGTTACTCTTGAAGATCAATGTATCTTACATGAGGGGCTGACCTGGAAAATTATTTACTTTGATGTCACCCCTTTGGCTGTACCTCAGGGGATATGCAGGCCTCCTTTCTACCTATGAAAGTGGTTTACCCTCTATGGAAGAAGGCTATGGAGGCAACACACAAAATACATAATGCACAGGGCAGATTCAGCACCAGGTGATAGTTTTTTCAAGACTGGGTATGAATGAGACTTGGGAAGGAAGGGAAGATGAGAAGTACAACTCTCCTACACTTCAGGTAGAAATTCTGTCCAGGGATTCCACAGAATTCTACAATGAGTTTATAGAGCTGGCCACTGAGACTTCAACTAACACTGGAAATGTGAGGTCCAGGCCTTTAGATTATCTGATGTTCTGGGTCTTTGGAAGTATCATCCACTGAGTTTACTAAAGATAAAATATTTTTAACCTACTTTATTCAGTGACTACTTTAAACAGCAATGTCTCTACCACTCTCCTTGTGTCTAGAGTTACTCAATCTGGATTACCTGAAAGAGCGAGCAACTTCCAACCCACAGGTCCTTTCCTTATCCATGGGTGCAACACTTTGCAGCAACAAGCTCATTTGCCCCTATATCTTTTGTGTCCTTGATCAAGAATAGAAGTTAGCCAAAGTGGCAGATCTCAGGACCCAATACTACCTCAATGGGTTCTCTGTGTCTTCCAGAACTTCTCTTGCTGATGGAGCCCCCAGTTTTGAGAAACTTCATTGTCACATTTGACACTACACAACAGTGTCTCCTGAAAAGGTCTACTTATACTTTCCGGCGACAGCTGCTGTGTTGTAAAATAATCTAAAATATTTAGCCAAACAATAATTTTTTTGTATGTTAATATTTGCTTAAGAGTTAGCATTGCAATTTCCTTTCCTAAATGAAACAATACTTATCTACTCATTCAGCATACAATTATTGAGTGAAAAAAAAAATGCCCAGTGTCCATTAAAGAAGATTGAAATAATATCCCTGACTTCAAGTATTGTTTCAACTTCATTGTGTACCATGGAAAAGTAACTTGGGAGTAGGGGATTCTAGGCTACCCAAAGAGGCAGACAGCGACATGAGCATTTCTCAGGTCATTTTCCAGTGGATCACACTTGTCTATGACCTCTCTGCCCTGAGCAGAAATAAAAACTGAGGTTGCCTGAAAGGAAGGAAGCCAAGGCATTCTATTGACTATACAAAAGCAATATAAGTGTAGTACCCAGTAGTCAGTTTCCTGTGAAAAGTCAGCCAGATGCCATCTTGGTATATGGATGGAAAGAAGATGAGGATGGCCTTCTGGAAGTAAAATTGCAATGTGGAGGACCCTGGATTCATATTATCTTTAAGGCAGCGCCCCAGAAGAGCTACAGCAGGTGGTAGAGTTCTTGTCTGGGACACTTGCATTGTTCCCAGGACCCTGAATGACAGATGGAGACCCAGAGGGTCATGTCATACTACTCATGGTCAAGAGTCCATGGGGAGGAGAAAGCAAGTGTTTCAGCAAGATTACCTTCACTCCTGATAGTAATATTTCCTAAGATAAATATTACAGGCCAATTTATCGTTGACTTACACTATCCTCACACATTAATAACCACACTTGCTCAGGCTGAAACTCAATTAGGCTGTACTGGAATCACCTGAAGACCTTTGATCACACACTCAATAAAATTCCGATATAATCAATGAGAACTATTACATGAACATTATAATTGTTTAAAACTTCATAGATGATTCTGTTACACAAGTTACTCATTCTCTAGCTTAAGAAGAATACCGGTGTTTGTGCCTCAACCCAGACCACTGGATTCAGAATCTCTGATGTTGGTGCCAGGATTATTTTATATATTCTCCTCATACAATTAAAATGTGCAGCCAGGCTAAAAAACAAAGAGTCAAAGAGAAAAGGGTTCTAAACATGGTTAAAGATTAGGAATACAAGATTATTCTGCATTGGTTACATATGTTATTTCTTGTTCTTCTGGGATGAGGGTCACCACTTTCTGGAGAACGACGATGGGAATGTGTGGGTCCCTACAGTGAGAAGAAGGAATATGGCCTTAAGCCTCCATGTTAGACCAGTCTTCGTCCACATTGGGGATGGGATTCAGTATTCTTCCAGAACACTGAGTGGGAGCTCTTGGCAAGATGTTTCTCAGTTTTATCTTTCTTGTATATGACCATTTTTAATAGCAAAAGTGATGACCTGAACCTAAATTTGCCCCACACAAGAATTTTCACCCAAAGGCCAGAACAAGATTCAAAATAATTGTTAATTAGTAACTCTTCATTTTTTATTACTTTCTACATGAAAAGACATAAAATAACTACATTCAAAATCACTCTGTCCAATGGCTTCAGGAAGGACATTTCTGATTTTTGTGTGTTGTTAGCCGAGATATAATACAGACTTTGAGAAACAGAGAACTTTTCTCTATGTATTAAGGTGGAACCATTCGTTAGGGTCTTAGCAACCCTGTATGCAATGGACCCTGCAGGGACAATGGAACTAACACAAGAAACTTCACAATTACTATGAGAAGGAGTGGGGATAGATAGGATAGATGGAACCATGAGAGAGTCTGTCTGAACGTTAGAGGAAGAGAAGGAGGACAAAGGACAGAGATACAGCAGTGAGGCTGATGGAGTAAACCCAGGAGAGGATGGTGCAGACCTCACATGTTTGGAGAGAGCAGAAATGGTCATGGCAGAGAAAGGTGGACGTTGTCATCCCTGCCTCCTCCTGCTCCTCAGTGGACCACTTTCCCTCCACCCAGTACTCATCAATGGGTGGGCCAGTCCCCAAGTCAGTCTCATTTGTGTCACTTCAGATGGTCACACGGTGGTAGACATTTCTTCAGTAGACCATGGGATAGACAGGATGTTTCTATCTGGGATAGAACTATTCCAAAGACATTCTCAACCTCTCTCAATTTTCTCAGAAGGCAGAAGGAAAGCAACCATGGTCAAATGTAGTTTCTGATGGTTCCGGATTCATGTGTGTTCTTCCAGGTTCACAGAAGGTTGTGCATTTTAGATTCTCATGTTGTAGTCTTCTGGGGTCTCACTGGGAATACATTGTTTTACCTCCTAGTGGGAAAATTCAGAGCTATGTGACATCTGCCTGTATGGAGCAAATCTCTTCCGCTGTGATACTTGTTTGAGATACTTTCATGAGGACTGTCACATTCCACCTGTGGAAACTGAAAGGTTTGTGAGATGCTGCCCTTTCTCTTTTAGGGACCCCCCCCTCCTGCCCTGCACACTCCCTCTCCAGAACCCCTCCTTATGTCCTGATGGGGAAAGAGCACAGTCAGCGGTTTGGGGTCCAGCAGTCTGATCCTGGGAGCTGTTTAAAGACACTGTCAGCTGGAGGGCAATGTTCTGCTCTCTCCTCTGGGAGGCTGAGGCTGGTGGCTGGGTCCTTTGCCTACATACCGCTACTGTCCTTTCCAGGACTTACCCGTAGACTCCTGTTCACAGGAATGGAAATACCAGTAGTTATGTTCTGTGATTATTCAGAAAAGGCAAGAAACATGGATTTTTTGCCATGTCTCAACTGGTTGATTGAGGCTCAGGGCGCCCAGGGGTTAAGGCCCAGTCACCAACACTCAGGCCTGGTAGGCAGGGGTCCTTGTGCTCCCAGCCCCTCAGACAGGAGAGCCCACCACTCACCCTGACACCATCTTCTACCCACAAAACCTCTGCCTCTACCCTCAGTGGAAGAGGGTCATCAGATCAGACCCCAGCAGGGGGTCCTGGAGACTGGGGAGTGTCCCCTTCATCCCCCGACTGTGCCCACTGGTCATTCCTGAAAGGAGAACAGGGGCAGCCGTAGGAAGACTGGCTGTTTCTGGGCTTTGCCCTGCTCACTCATGCCCCCTGTCAGGAGCCCGTGGAGTTGCACCTTCTGCAGGATGAGTGAGACCTCAGGAAGCCGGCAGTGTCTCAGGGAACCCGAGGTTCTGGAGAGGCAGATGGGGCCTGAGGAACAGCTGGTGAGTCCGATTCCAACCCCAGGGTCTCCTTTCTGCTGACACATGAGAAGCCAACAGTTGAGGGGTAGGGCGTCAAAGCGTGTCTACTCTTCTGACCAGGTCTCAACAGCTGAAAACTCCCCAGACCTATTTGCAGAAAAAAGAAAACAAAAAACAAAAAAAACCTCAGCCATTACATGTCTATTTCCTTGAGTCACACCTGTTTGAGGAAACTTCTGGAAAATAAGTGTGACCATGCCTCTGCCTGGGCATGCACATGGGCCCATTCTCTCTACGCTTCTTTTTATTCAAATCCTTTTCTCTTACAGAAATGTGAGTTCCTCCTCTTGAAGACCTATTCAGAGCGTGGCATCGAGATGATGCCGCATAATTCTGTGAGTAACAGTTGCAAAACTATGACTATCGGCCACCACAAAGTGACCCAGCCTTGACACAGGCTCTTGTGGGATCTGGGACCGAAGCCCACAGGAGGGAGGGCATGAGCTGCTGTGATCATTAGCTCATATTTCGGCTGCATTGTACAGGGACCCACAGAAGGCAGGCATTGCGCTCTGTCAGAAATTCTCTCAATGTTTTTTTTTCACCAGAGATGCATGAATGATCTTAGGAAGTTGAAGGAAATTAAGACGAAGCTATGTGAACGGGGTTACCCCAAAGTGGGGGGGTTTATGCAGGCCGTGCACCACGTCTTTCAGGACCACCTGGCATCTAGAAGGGTACGTAACGTTCCCTGTTTCCACTCTATTTTCTCTCCATTGAGTCGCTCTGCCCTCACTTTTCAGTGTAGGGAAATTTTATAGTTTATCTCATCCCGTCTCAAGCCTATACAAGCAAGAGTTCTAAAAGTGGGTGACTTAAAATTCAACAGAGAGCGTAACAGTAAGTCATTAGGTGTCCCTGCAACACAACCTTCAAGCCTCTGGGGGTTCATCCCTCTCCTCAAAGGTGAGGCGCGTCCATTGAGAGCCCTTTGCCCCCCTGTTCCAGACAAAGGGGTAAGAGAATCACGAAATATAGTTATATTGTGCTTCTTACCCCTCCCCAAATATTCTCAATCAGACTTCGGAGGAATTTCAAACTCCAGGCTCCTTGGCAGATAAATGAACATATAGGTAACAGGAGTCACCAGGGGGAACAGGAGAGAGAACGTGAAAGGAAAATTGCTGACTGAACTCAGACGTCTGTAATATTGGATGGTTACAAACATTATTACTTTTCTAATGATCACTAAAGTAAACAGCCCGAACCAAGTAGTAAGAGTCCCCAAGCATGGTAATGATTTTTCATTTTTGCCTAGTTAACAGTAAATAATCATGCACTTATGCACTTAGGACATAGAAATTACTCTTAGCCCCATGAGTTTTTAATCTTCGCCTGGTTAATGTAATTAAGGTGTTTTAGGCAAGAGCTATGATCACACTCAAATTGCAAGGTGTCTGATAACACTGATAAGAAGTGTCATTATTTTGTCTTTTTTTTTTTTTTCCAGTGCAATGACTTCTGCTTGGGAATTATACTGGAGAAAAAATTCGAGCAGAATTTCAAGAATGTGTTTGCTGTTCAGTAAACAAGACAACACCATAGAGACAGCAAAATTAAATTAGAAAACACTGAGTGAACAAAATTAGAAATTCAGCAAAAAAAAAAAAAAAAAGAAATTATGTCACATACAACGGAGCCCCCACCAGACTATCAGCTTATGACTCAATAAACACTTTGCAGGCCGAGAGAGAGTGGATGATACGTTGAAAATACTGAAAGAAAATAATCGTTAACAAAGATTAGTACTCAGCAAAGCTGTCCTATAGAATTACAGGAGAAGTAGACTTATCAGAAGAAAATGGAAGCTGAGGGAGTTATCACCACTAGAACTGCCTTATAGAAATGATCAAGGGCGTTCTTCAAGCTAAAATAGAAGGAATGTAAGTAACATTGTAAAAACATGACCTGAACTCTCAACTGCACACAGTTGGGTGCTCTTTCTCCCTTGGTTACAGGCACAGGGAATTTAGAGCAGGAAGAGGTGGAAGCTGGGGCCCAAATTCCTTGGAAAGAGATGCTTCAGGAATAAGTCCTTGAAACAAAAACCAAATTCAACAACCGTAACGCAACCTCCTCCTTTAACAAAGAAAAATATATTCTGAAGATTTTCGGCAACAATTTTTATGTCTCATACATATAGATGGTTTTGAAGTATTAACTTCAACTGAAATTCTAGAATAAACCATGTATTTTCTCTAGGTACATTATTTATTCTGTTATTTTGTTATGAAACAAGCCCACTCTAAGCAGGTGTGTGTTTGTGCTCCCGTGAGCACAGAAGTATAAGGTGCATGTGGCCTGGCTGGCGTATCTTCTAACAGGTGTGCCTCTGACGCCCGGCACAGTCATATGTCTCCTCCTTGGTGGGCAGGGCTCAGGGCGCCGGAACCACTGGGGTCTGAGAAGCCAGAGGCAGGGCTGGGCCTGGAGTGGGTGGGCTGGGCTGCATATTTCGAGTGGGGGTGGACAGGTCTGTTTCTGACCCACGGAGTGAGCTCCTACCCAACCGGTAGCTTACAAAGAGAAGAAGCTGGGTGACTGGAGGTGAAGTGAACCTCACAAGCAGCCAGCACGAGATGTTTCTTGTTTCCTGTCTCCTAACACTGAGAGCAGCCACAGGCTTGTGTGAGTGGCTCAAACTTTGGTAGAAAGTTCTTTTTTTTTCTGGATTAGCAGAGCCAGGAAGCAGTCAGGGCAACCATGCTCACTGGTGATGAAGGGGGACATCCCCAAAGGAAGAAAGTGTATACAGTCTCCCCAAGTATCCTGACATGAGTTCTAATGACATGATAGACATGGCTGGCCGGTGTGGCTCAGTGGACTGAGTGTCATCTAGTTCACCAGGAGGCCACCAGTTCAACTTCCTGTCAGGGCACATGCCTGGGTTACGGGCTCGATCCCCAGTAGGGGGCATGCAGGAGGAAATGGAATAATGTCTCTCTCTCATCCATGTTTCTATCTCTCCCTCTCCTTTCTTCTCTATGTAAAATTAAATTTTAAAAAATATTTAAAACAAGGACATTCCCCAAAAAACTGCCAAGCAGAAGGTAAGACAGATGAGGATCAAATTCCCAGCTTTCATCCTAGTAAAGCTGGATCAGGGGACGTGCCAAAAAAGAATTCCTAAATCTGAACTCCAGAACTGGGCTTAGCCACAAAGTCTCAGGCTGCTCCAATCAACCACACAGCAGAGCTAGAAGCAAAACCAGTGTCCAGAGTTTCCATTCTATTGTGGAGTTGAGTCTCGTGTAGCATCGGGCTAATCACAGTCCATTAGTCCATTATGTGGGGGGTCCACGTGGCCATGAGCCACATGGGTGACTGCAGGAGCATGAGAACTCCACAAGCCAGAAGAGAGTCAAGAGGGAGAATACCCTTTGTTCAGGACCTTGAGCATCAAACCTCCCCATGCGTGCAGCATTCATGCCTATTCTGGCCAATCACCCGTTCCAAGGCATGACTGACAGGTAAGCACCTTCCCATGTCAGCCAGACCTTACTACTGGACATGCATCTCAACTGCCTTTGTCCAGTCTCTTCCCCCATCAATCTCTGGGGAGCAGACCTAGAGAGTTTTCAACTGCAGCTTTCTGGCAAATCCGTATAAATGGTATGTCCATATTATCTAGCCTTCCTTTATTCCCTTCCTATTCATCAGCAACCAGGTTATTACACCAGTATCAGGAGCTGCTCCTGGTAAAGCTAAGGAAGGCTGTCTCCTTGGCACGTCCTCCGCCCCCTGTCCCTCTTCAGTCCCTGCCTCTCCTATTTTCCAAATTTCTAGGCACCGTAGCTCAGGCTACCTCCTGAAAGTACAAATGTTCCCTGCTGCCCGGCCAGTGTGGCTCAGTGGGTTCAGTGCCATCCTACGGACTGAGAGGTCATGGTTCAATACCCAGTCAGGACACAGGCCTTGGTTGTGGGATCAACCCCTGGCAGCGGCGTGCAGGAGGCAGCCGATCAATGTTTCTCTCTCTAAAAAATCAATAAAAACATAGTTTAAAAAAAAAAAAAAAAAAGGTCCCTGTTGTCAGTGCTCCTGGTCACCGTGGACAATGCCCAGGCCCTCCCTTCTTTCCTTCATATCAGTCCAGCAGATTGTTAGGGATTCAACTTGCTTCTGAAGGTGACCTTGTCCGGTTCCTTACCCAGTGGGTCAGACATTGTTTCTGGATCAAAAATCTTTGCTTCCTCCACAGAGGCGTCCTGTTCCCACAGAAATCACTGCGGTTCGCAGAATGGAGTCTGCCCAGCTCTCTCTGATCCCACAGGAACGGGGCAGCCCTGGTGCGGGAGTGTCCACCGGGGAGGTCGGCCTCTGTGGATTTCCCAGCCCTCCCCCCGGGAGGCCAGCCCCTGTGGATTTCCCAGCCCTCCCCCCCGGGAGGCCAGCCCCTGTGGATTTCCCAGCCCGCCAACAGCCATCAGCCTCTAATTCACATGGTGATTAGTGACTCTAAGCAAACCCAGGAAAAGCTGAAAAGCTGGCACATTTATGCCAACACCCAGCATGGTGGTGGCCTAGTCTGCTTGCTGTCCCGGGACAGGGGAGAGAGGGGACACTAGAAAAGGCCGGTGTTGCCCTGGCCAGTTTGGCTCAGCGGTTAGAGCGTCGGCCTGCGGTCCGGAGAGACCAGGTTCGGTTCCCGCTAAGGGCACACGTACCTCGGTTGCAGTTTGTCCCTGGCTCTGGTTGGGTCATGTGGGTGGCAACCACTCACTGTGTCCCTTTCACATCAATGTTTCTCTCTCTCTCTCTCCCTCCCACTCTATCTGAACAAAATATCGAAAAATGTCCTCAGGTGAGGATTAAAAAAAAAGAAAAGGCCGGTGTCATCTGTGCCAGACCTTGTCTGGACCCCAACCACCACAGAGGTCCAGAGCACAGGACGGCTGTGTCCTACAGAGGCTCAGCTTACTAGTCGGGGCGGGGTGGGGAGGAGTCGATCCCTCTGTATGTGGCACCTGAGACACACTGAGACCTGCCCACAGGTACAGATGTCCTCATCAGTGTCCTAGAATCTGTCCCAAGGATTGATATTCACTCTTTTGGGGGAAAGAAAGAACATATGGGGAAAGAGGATAAAACTTTCCCCTGTAGCTTCAATGTAATCGGGCGAGAACCCTTCTTCACAGCTGGAGGAAGTTGGATTTGGGGGACGAATGTGGGAACCATTGCTCTAGAGAATGTCTGCTTCTCCAGCCCGTGTCCAGACACGGACCTGGGTGAAGAGCTGAAGTTCTTTGTTCCCTCTTTTCCCCGAAGCCAAGGGCAACGTGGAGCTCCCCGCCCGCCCTCGTGGAAGGTTGGGGCAGCCGGGACAGCGGGAATCACAGATGTTTCTGGTGTCTTTGCACAAATGAGTGGACCCTGGGAGCTGGCCCTGCTGGCCCTGGCCTCCAGGTCCTGACTGTCCCTCCTTGTCCTCCATTTCTGCTGCCACAATCTGATGGCTGAGAACCACCGTGGGGCTATAGGAGGGAGGAGACAGCACAGGGCAGTTACTTTCAATTCTCATTTCCCTATCTGGGTGGAGCCCTCCCCGGCTGGGTTCACAGATTTCCTGCTCAAGGCTGGGCAGCTGCAGTAGTCCCAGGCCAGAGACTGGGGGGTGGACGGCTGGGCTCCGGGCCCAGGAAGAACCCAAGACTGGACCATGGACCATGGCGGCAGCGACCCCAGTACCAGGTCAGTCTCTGTCTCCCTTCCTTTAACTTTCTCTCTGGATGAAATGCTGCTACTGCCTGTCATTAGACAATTGTCTAAGCCTTGACCTTCTTCCTGCTTTATAAGATCACCCTTGGGCACCATAAGGAAATGCAGGAATGCACAGTTGGAAACAGGACCTTTAAACTGCAGAGGGGCAACCTTGGCCAGTTGGCTCAGCGGTTAGAGCATCCTCCCGGAAACCAGAAAGTCCTGGGTTCGTTCCCGCTAAGGGCATGTTCCTCGGTTGCAGTTTGTCCCCGCCCCAGTTGGGATCGTGTGGGTGGCAACCAGCCCATGTGTCTCTCTCACATCGATGTTTTTCTCTCTCTCTCTTTATCCCTCTCTCCCTCCCACTCTATCTGAAGATAAATGCAAAAATGTCCTCGGGTGAAGATAAAAAAAAAATTTAAACTGCAGAGGGACAAGTGCTGGTGTGAATGCAGCTGCCACAGCCCCAGGACTGATAGCCACGGCCTATCTGGTGGCCCGTCTGGCTGGGCTGTCCTTCCTGACGCTCGGAGACAGCGATCTGTTGTTTTCTCATGACCTCTGAACCCTCTCTTTCCCTCAGGCCCCCTCTGCCTTCACCTAGGTCATTTTGTTATCAGAAAAATTGGGGTTTCCTCTTCCCCACTGGGTGCTGGGGATGTGGCCCTTACAATATCTCAAGAAAAAGAATTTTCTGAGGCTCACATGGGAGGATGAGTGATTCTCAATCGCATGGAATTACATCCCTGGGTTTCCAAAGTCCCATTCCAGTCATAGAACAAGTGTAGCTGGGGCTCCAGTGAAGCTACAAGCGAGGCCAGAGTCTTGAGTTTACGTTCCACGTTGCAGCAGGGCCAGTTCAGCATCAGGCTAGTTGCAGCCCGTTAGTCCATTGTGTGTGGGGCCCACATGCCCATGAGACATGTGAACGAATGCCAGGAAGGAGGAGCAAGAGAGCCCCGCCAAGGCGAGAGTCAGGCGCCACACACCACGAAAGCAACCTCCTTTGTTTAGGGGATTAAATATCCCACCCCTTGCAGTGGCCATGCCCATTCTGGCCAATGACCTCTTCCGAGAGGTGACTGACAGGCAAGTACCTTCCCCATGTTACTCCATCTCCTCCCTGACCTGTCCTTTCCCCCAGCGATCTGTGGGGAATAGTCCTGGTGAGTGTTGAACTGCAGCTTCCTGGCAAAGCTGCACAAATGACATAACTATAATATTTGGACTTCCTTTTCCTGCTTTCCTGTTATTAAGAACTTGGTTAGTTACAATGTTATCAGTTTCAAAGAAGGTACATTAGAAAATATAAAATTCAGGGTAAACACATGACCTATTTTCAAACCTGGCTCCCTTGGTCTTGTACCTGACCTGGGAATGGGTCAGCTCCAGGCTTATTCCCATCTCTGTTTTCTGTTTGTTTTTTCTTTCATCTTCACTGGAGGACATTCTTAGAGAGAGGACAGGAGCGACAGAGACAGACAGACAGAGAGAGAGAGAAACATCAATCGGTTGCATTTTGTACATGCCTGAACGGGGGATCAAACATGCAACCCAGGTATGCGCCCTGACTGGGAATCAAACTGGACTGGCAACCTTTTGGTGCACAGGATTACGCTCAACCACTGAGCCACTCTGGCCGGGCTTCCTCCAGGGATCTTGATTTAAGGGAATAAAAGGAAGAGGAAGGACCAAGACACCAAAGACTAGTGCAGGCTGAGTATTTTTGTTTTGTACTTTGAGTTTCTGCTCTGGAATGGCTTCTATCTCTGACAAGGAAAAAGCTAGAAATCTTTTCATTTGAATCAACATATGGATCTATCTCATTCTTTTTTTTAAATCCTCACCTGAGGATATTTTTTCATTTATCTTCAGGTAAAGCAGGAGGAAGGGAGCAAGAGAGAGAGAGTGAAAAACATGGATGTGACAGAGACACATCGATTGGTTGCCTCTGGCTTGACCCCAACCAGGGCCAGGAGCGATCTGCAACCGAGGCATGTGCCCTAGGCCAGAATCAAACCCAGGACTCTCTGGTCCGCTGGCTGGTGCTCTAACCACCGAGCCAAACTGGTCAGGGCTGTCTAATTCTTTCTAATGACTACACACTGCTGCATGGGATCCATACACCATAATTTTGAAAACTTTCTCCTGTCTATTAACTGACATCAATGTTGTTTTCAGTTGTTCAGTTTTACCAACAAGCTACAATAATGCTCTTATAGTTCATGTTTTTGCATGTATCCAAGTATTTATCTAGTTTCAAAAACCAAAATGTGAAATTATTGAGAGTAATAATGCTACTTGTTTATACATTCTACCAAATTGCCTTTTTTTATGGCGGAATTACTATATTTTCCTAACATTAGCTGATGACCCATCTCCCCACACCAGACTTTAAAAAGGTGCTAAATAAAGAGATGAATGCAGTTCATTTGCATGAGAGATTGAACAGGTTTTCCTGCCTATTGGCCATTTAAATTGCCTATTTCTGTTCTTTTCTGGTTTACTTTTGGCCAGTGTTATCAGGTGAGATGATTGTCCCTTTTTTAATGATAAGAGAGAGTTCACTACATAGTCTAAACTTTATAAATATACTTTTCTTGTCTTTACCTTATTTATGGTGATTTCTATTGTATTAAAACTTGAATTTTAGAGTATAGACTTATAGTATTGATTTTATAAGATAGATACACCCTGGTTATTATCAATAAATAAAATCAATGCAGAAAGTTACTGGTGAACTCCATGCAAACTATTTAAACATAGTTTTTGTATTCTTTACGGTGGCAGATTTCATTCTACTTCTATTTCAGGAATAGTTTCTTTTTCAATATGTGTGAAAACTTTTTATTTTCCAAATTTTGGGCAAAATTATTCTTTCACTGATGTAACTTTATCTTTCACAGCTTTATCTGCCCCTTAATACTTTCATCCCTTTAGTTGTTTTATTCTGTGTTCAAATGGTGGTGTCAAATTTTTTCTCCTTTGCCATTATTTTGATTTTAGCTTTTTTGTTTCTTATAAATTCTAATTTGAAAGAATTGTGTTTATTTTTGAAAGGGTGTCTTAATTTTCTTCAACAGCTCTGCAACCTCAACTTAAACCACATTCTATTCTATCAGCCCAGCTGCACACGGCTGCTCTACTTGTTTATTTAGGGTTGGTGTGACGTTGAGCGCCCTGGGGACACTTCCGCCCCCTCGGGATTCCTACACACTGACCCCTCTGCGGGCTGGTCCCTGTTGCTTCTCTCTCCCGGGTGCCCACCCTGGTTTCCCAGCCCTGGCAGCGCGCCCTCCCCCGCGTGCACAGTCGTCAGCGGGTGCAGGTTTTTTTCACATTTCCTGTCTTATCTGAGCCGGATTTCTTGGCGTCTGATGTACTGTTTGAAGGAACTACCGTTTTTCTTGCTGGTTTTTCTGAGGCACCGTGTTTGGTGAAGCATCCTCTTCCACTCTGCCCTGCGGTGCTGCCCTCTCCATGAGCCAGGGGCCACGCGTGCAGGGTCTGTTCTTCTCCTCCCCTGCTGCTGGCCCGCGAGCCTCTCCTTGGGCTGACCCACTGTCCTAGAGAGGACGGCGTCACAGGAGCTCTTGACATCTGGTAGAGTGCGCCTTCCCATCCTCCTTCCTTCTTCAGTGTCCTGTCCCTTGGAAGCTCCAAATCGGCTTGTCAAAACCTTGTTGGGATTTATTTCGAATTGTTATGAATCTATAGATTGATTAGAAGAGAGTTGACATCTTTATAATATTGTGTCTTCTACCTCATTAATATTGTATATGCATATTATTTATTAAAAGTATTTTCTAACCCGGCTGGTGTGGCTTACTGGTTAACATCGACCCATGCACCAAGAGGTCACCGGTTTGATTCCCTATCAGGGCATATGCTCAGGTTGTGGGCCTAACCCCAGTGGGGGGCATGCAGGAGGCAGCCAATTGATGTTCTTTTCATCAATGTTTCTCTCTCTCTCTCTCCCTCTCCCTTCCTCTCTTTCTAAAATCAATAAAGGGAATAAAGTAATATCAATAAAGAAAAAATATTTTTTAAAAATATGTATTTTTCTGAAAATTATAGCTTTCTTCCTAGAGGTTTTATACTCATTCTGCTAGACTTATTTATAGATCCATTATGCTCTTAAATCTGCATAATTTAAAATCAAAATTTCGCCCTCACCAAGTGACTCAGTTGGTTGGACTGTCATCCCGTAAACCAAAAGGGAGCAGGTCCAATTCCTGGTCAGGTCACATACCTAGGTTGCAGGTTTGATCCCAATAATGTTTCTCTCTCTCTCTCTCTCTCTCTCTCTCTCTCCCCCTTCCTCTTTTTAAGTATATCCTTGGGTGAGGATTAAGAGAAAAAAATAAAAATAATAAAATCAAATAAAAATAAAATCAACTTTCTAGCTGCCTGCTACTAAGATATAAAAATAAATTAAAACTTTGCCACTCTCTGATTTTAATAACTTATATGGTAATATACATAAATTTACATATGCCTACATAATGACAATTTTGTTTCTTCACATGCTTTACATTTATTATTTCTTTTTCTTGCTTTATTATGTTGGCCATGACTTCCAGTATTACAATGAATATGAGTAAAGATAGCCATCATCTGTATCTTGAGCCCAATCCAAAGAGAAAGCTTTTCTTATTGTACTATTATGGATGATGTTTGCTACAGCTTTCCTTTTTTTTTTTTTTTTTTTATCCTCACCCGAGGACATTTTTCCATATTTTGTTCAGATAGAGTGGGAGGGAGAGAGAGGAAGAGAGAGAGAGAGAGAGAAACATCGACGTGAAAGGGACACATCGAGTGGCCGCCACCCGCACGACCTGACCAGGGCCGGGGACAAACTGCAGCCGAAGTACATGCCCTTAGCGGGAACCGAACCCGGGTCTCTGTAGACTGCAGGCCAACCCTCTAACCGCTGAGCCAAACCGGCCAGGGCTAGCTTTCCTTTTTGAATATGGAAAATTGCACAGAGTAAAGAAGTTTTACATTTGGCATCTAATATTTTCAGTGTGTGAGGTGTTCCTGGCCCTGTTTTTCACTTTTTCTGCTGTTCTCACTCTCAAATGATTTTTTAAATAAACTTTTAATTTTGGAATAATTTTATATTTACAGAGAAGTTGCAAAGATAAGACAGAAGTTTCCACATACTGCATACCCAGTTTCATTTCCTGTGATGTTCTGTCCTTACACTACTGTGGTACATTTGCCCAACTGAAAAAGAAAAATAAATTGCTACATCAGTGTTGTGTGAATTTCCAATAAGAATATGAAATTGTGTTCAACATCATTAGTCATTAAAGAAATACAAAGTAGAACTATATGAGATTCTACATAATGCACTACATCTCACTTTTATACAATTAAAATTTTTGCATAAAAAATTCAAGCTTTGCCCAGCCAGCTGGTGTGGTACACTGGTTGAGCATCAACCCATTCATCAGGAGGTTGCCCTTTGTATTCCCAGTCAGGACACTTGCCTGGGTTGTGGGCCAAATCCCCAGTGGGGGGCATGCAGGAGGTGGCCAATTGATGTTCTCTCTCATCACTGTTTCTATCTCTCTCTCCCTCTCCCTTCCTCTCTCTTCTAGAATCAACAAAGAAGAAAAAAAATTTTTTTTAATTCCAGCTTTGGGACAAAATAACTTTTCAGTGGCTTTGATCATGACAGACTGGCATTTTTCAATACTATGTATGTCTTTCTAATCCGCCATGCTTCATTTTATTATAGCCTTGTCTAGTGCTTCAATTCTATGTGTTTTAATCTCTACTCAGGACCACTTATTTTATATGTGTTGGTTCTTCACAGCCTATCCTTCTTATGTTACAGCATATCAAAATCTCTTTTTTTCCTTTTAATTCTTTTTCTTTATTGATTTGAGAGAGAAAGGAAGGGAGAAGGAGACAGAAATAGAAACATCGATGAGAGAGAACATTGACTGGCTGCCTCTTGGATGCCCCCCACTGGGGATTTGGCCCACAGCCTGGGCATGTGCCCTGACCTGGAATCAAACTGGTGACCTCTTGGTGCATGGGTCAATGCTCAACCACTGAGCCACACTGGCCAGGAACATATCAAAATCTTGATAACCATTTTATCATGGTGTTCTTTCTCTCTAGGATGTCTTCAGAAAACAAGAGAATCTGTGACATTGCACTCAGCCTCTTCAAAAAATATAAGGTGGCGATTTCTGATGCAATAAACACAACATTTCCTTTCCTTGAATGTCTCCGTGACCATGGATTCATCACCAATGAAATATACAAAGTAAGTGAGGTTTATTATGTCTCAATCTGGTAAAGCAGCTTGCAAACTAAGTTATACATTGATGTCCTGGAGCCAAACATCAGAGCACAACTAGGCAACTGAGAGTCTCCTACAGGTGGGGACCCTCTGAAGTACTGCTGTAAGTGTTCTTATGAGGTCGGAAGGGAGAGAGGCAGGCATTACTAGAGACACTCCAGCTCCCAAATGAAGGAACAGTGCTCTGTGGTGCCCCCTGGAGTGGGGTGAATAGCCCTGGTGATAGTCTGGATCTGAAGCTACATAGACATGTAATGCCTTGTGGGAATTACATATACAATATAGCATAAACCAGGAATTAACAGTAATTTTAATGAATGGATAAATAATTTTAATTATATTGTTTAATGAAATAATAATTGACACAACATTTCATTCCAATGATCATCAATTAAATACTGAGATCTGATGCCCTGGCCTGTTTGGCTCAGTGGTTGGAGCGTAGGCCCATGGACCAAAGAGCTAAGAAATCAATTCCATTCAATGTCAGGTACTTCAGTTGTGGGCTGGGGTCATGTAGGAGGCAGCCAGTCGATGTGTCTGTCACATCGATGTTTCTCTCTCTCTCTCTCTCTCTCTCTCTCTCTCTCTCCCCTTCCACTCTATCTGATGATAAATGGAAGAATATCTTTAGGTGAGGATTTAAATAAATAAATAAATAAATAAATAAATAAATAAATAAATACGGAGGTCTGAGAACATTAAAATCCACAGAGAATTAATGTCTTGTTAGGATAAATTTGTAAATGTATATACTAAAAGCATTTAGTATCACCATTTACTATTCTTTCTCCAATAGTTTTCAGTTTCCTTTCTTTCTTTTTCTTTTTATTCTTTTCTTTTGATACTCCGAGAGTCTTGGAATTTAGGTTCATTTTAGCAAAAGATGTAGGTGGAGATACAGAGATGCAAGTCTTCTGTATTCCTATGCATAGGCTTTCTTTGTGGCAAAGTTCACAGAAACTTCCAGACCAAGTCAGCCCTGGGGAAGGGACAAGGGTTGTCCAGTAAATAGAACAGCTGCTCATCACCTACTAAGTCTCTTCCTAAAACATTTGACCAGGCTCTGAATGGACTACCCATGACTTAACTTTGAACCCAATTTGTTCTTCATAATTTCGCCTTCTTCTAATGTAAATGAAGGTGAGGAAATCAGATTCACAAACGGAAATTTTCAAGGATGGATTAATGTGTTTCACTAGTAGCCATATAAATATGGAAAAATTCTGAAGCTGTCCATGAGAAGATAACTATCTTGGGAAATTGTAATGCATTAACAATAAAAATCACTTTTAGGGCTCTTCTGTAACTTGGAAGTCTGTATTTATATTTTCCACATTCATTTTTTTACAAGGAGTCTGAAGAATCTTTTAAAATGTCGGATTCTAAACAAAGAGTCATATACAAGGTTCTCAACGAAGTAGAGAAGACATTTGACCTATCCTTTCTGGGAACATTGTTTAGCGATGTCATCATGAAGAAATATCCTGGTTTAAATCGAATTTATAAAATGTTCACAAAAGGTAATTGGATTTATTATGTTCTTTTTTTTATGTCCAGGGCTAATTTTTTCCCACAGGTATATATTGAATTTCTACCATGTGTCATACACAAGCCTGGGTAGTGAGGATATAGCAGTTAAGAAAACAGACATATCATGAGCCTTTCAAAGCTTATGATAAAATTGCTACACTACAAACACCTACCTGCAGGTGTGCTTAACTAGGTGTCTTGACTCAAAGGACTATCAGACCCACAGTGGCAGAATTACTCAGAAAGACAAATGAGAGCAAACAGCATTCCACCCGGGCAGTGTTAGGTGCTCCTTTTCTCTGGGACCCTTCGCAGGGGTCTTCATAGTAGTCCACCAAGTTGACTACTACCCACCTCAAGACAGCTTAGCTGTGGGTGCAGGATGCACCCTGATTCAGCCACATGATGCCTAGGGGAGTCAATATATCATGTAATAACTCAGTAGTCCTCAGTTTCAGAGACCCCATGAGGGACAGCTGAGTGACAAGAGTCACCACCTTGGAGGAAACAAAACCAGCTTATTCACATCTAGTCCCTCCCAGGCCACATGCAATTTACCTACCTACAGTCAGTCACTGGTCATTTTTAACTCCAATCTCAGTGTCCACCTACTAACACAGAAGAGAGGCCACCTTCACCAGGTTCCCAGGGTAATGAGCAAGAAAATCAACTCAAGGTGAAATTTGCTCTTGAAGAAGGAGAAATGGTTTTAGCTCATTCTCCACAACAGGTGTGATCAACAATCACATAATCACAAAACCAATTGCTCTGCCAGAAATGTTTTTTGATACTATGCAGAACTACAGGTTTGATTCTCTACCTCTTTCCTGAGAAGGCATGATTTTATATTTTTTTGTTGGTTCTCAGTAAGGATGTCCGTCAGTAATTTTTGTTTGACTTGCTTAGAAAATTTTTTATTCTAGCCCTGGCCGATTTGGCTCAGCGGTTAGAGCATCAGCCCATGGACCAGAGAGGCCTGGGTTTGGTCCCCGCTAAGGGCTCATACCTCGGTTGCAGTTTGTCCCCAGCCCCGGTTGGGGTCATGTGGGTGGCAGCCAGTCGATGTGTCTCTCTCACATCGATGTTTCTCTCTCCCTCTTCCTCCCTCTCTCCCTCCTGCTCTATCTGAAGATAAATGCAAACGTGTCCTCGGGTGAGGATTTTTAAAAAAAGGGGGGGGGATACGTATGGAAAAAAAAAAGATTTTGGAAGATCTGGCTTCTGAAGCTAAGGATTTGATATTATTTACCACACAGTAAGGAGATAGTTCAGGTCTACAAAGTTTATAAGTACAGGTTTATTGCCCCAGGAGGTAACCTGCCATCAGTCCTGAGGCATATGAGCTCACTACTTTCCTCCCTCTCCTCCCTGGACTCCTTTCCTGGCAAGCTGAATTGTTTTACATGAGTTACAAGGTCACGATGTTGTCACAACCCCTTTATCCTGACATTTGAGGGGTTTTCTATATTGGAAGCACAGGGGCTCCTTTGTTGGGCACTCTCTTTTCTGTCCCAGGGATGAAGGGGGAACTTGACCATCAGGAGTGGGACCCACTGTGCAATGAGTGACCCCAGGGATATAAATTTCTAATTGTGTAAATTGAGATTATGTCACTATTCTTGGTGGAGATTTCTAGTTGTCTACTTCTTCTCTCTTCAGTGATACCAGACCTAGACTTACACCTAGAAAAAGATGAGAAAGAAGAGGAAGATAGGCCTGATGGCCTTGAACAAGGTAATTGTGACCAGATAAAAACAGATTCTCATCCGCTAAGAGGAAGGGAGAAAGGGAGGTGGGGCCCCGAGTCCCGAGTGGAGTTTGGGAATCAGGGAAGAACTGTTGAGGAGCATGGAGGAGCCAGGGAGGCGTGTGTGTGATGTCTGACCAGGGACTGATGCTGGAGGAGGAGCTGTGACAAGAGACCGTTGGCCCGATAACCAAGACAGAGGAACAGGAACCCAATGTGTCTGAAGCCAGATTTAAGCCGAATGCTGACCTGAGGTCATTGTGGTTTGGAGAGACCCTGTAGGAGAAGATCAGCGTGAAGCTGTGCAGAGCTGGGAACTAAGGGCTCAAGGTCAACATCACAGAGGAGATCCTGGATGATGATAGTAGAAGGACTGATTAAATGTGGGGGTGCTGTTCAAGGGCAGTCATGTAGGGAGAGAAGAGAGGAAGTGGTTAAGATGTGGTAGAGGGATGTGGGTATTTTGAGAGAGAGAGGAAGATGGAGGGGAAACGAAAGACAGCAGAAAGGGGTAAAGGACACCAGGACAACAGCCATATTATTAAGAGCTCACTTACTGGGCATTTACTCTGGCAGGTGTGGCCTTAGGGTTCACAGCTGTCCTTGGCAGGGGGTAGTATCACTATCTACCCACTTGCAGGACAGGAGACTGAAGTCTACAGAGACCATGTATGTAGTTGGCCTGGGGCCATACAAACTGGGTGAACCTAGGCATTCTGAACCCAGAGCCTGTGTTCTTAATCTTGTATACACCAAGACAATCTCATGAAAAAGACAGAAACTTGAGTTAAGAGTAGAAAAATATATGCAGAGGGAATAATGCAGAAAGAAGCTGGATGAAGTGCAGGAGAATCAGACACTGAACCTCATGAAAAAGCCAATGAGACAGAGAAACAGACAGTCAGAGGGAGGTGTTGTGTGAAGGGGGGTGGGGACCGGGAGACATGACCTTGTAGGAATTAGTTAAGGCCACCAGTCAGAGGTAGCTTTAAGGACAAAAACAGGTTCCCCATGGCCATGGGTGACAAGAAAAGCCCTCACCAGTTATGGAGTGACTCTGGATGCTCTCAGTGAGATGGCCTGATGAGGTGGCCAGGGGTGCAGCTGATAGCAAGAGTCAGTGGGTTCCACCAAGTCCAGATGGGCCTCTCTAAAAACATCATGGAAGGAATTCTTATACAGCTTCCACTGGGCTGTGTTGTTTAAGAAAAGATGTTCTAAATTAGTGATACATTTTAATAAAAGAAAGAAAACCTTTCACATTTAGTCAAAAAGTTAACATTTAAGAATATAAAATATCCAACATGCATCAATCTATATTCTTAGGAGTTCCTCTACCAGTGCAATTGGTGGAGTCAAGAGGGGTGAGAGGAAGGAATTGTGACAAGTAATGAGCAGACAAGGGATTCAGTGTGTGTGTGTGTGTGTGTGTGTGTGTGTGTGTGCATTGTGCGGGTTGTGGGGGCAGAAGGCAATGACGTTGGAACCCAAATGATGCAACAAACCACCAATAAATGTGTCCAAGAGTCTGATTCAGCAGGGATGCTTGACTGACATGCATGGGGGAGGGAAGAGCTGTGTCACATGCCCTCACCCAAGGAACTGAGGATGTAGAATCAAACATACACCAGGGTCCAGGTTCTGTACAAAAATGGTGGGAATTTATTTTTAAATCATCTTTACGTATAAATTGCTTTGCTTAGAAAAACAGTACAAATGAAAAATCTAAAGGTATTTATCCATTCATACACAATTGAGGTTGGTGGGAACAGAGTAGTTTGGATGGAATCAATAATGAGCAGGGAAGTTCACCACGGGAAAGGGGCTGTGATGCTCCTGGGTGGTGTACTCAGGGATTCGTGCCTGATCATTTCCTGCTTCACTCTGCCCTCTGTCTCTGGCCACAAACCTTTGCAGCCTCGCTTGCCAGCTGCCTTGTCATTGCTTCCTGCTGGGCTCCTAACCTGAGAGACACCAGCAAGAGATCGGAGAGAGGGACCAAGGCAGACGCAGGGTCCTCCCCGTCACTGTCTTGGGCAGCAATTCAGGCAGTAGATGCATCCCCCATGACTACCTCCCACCAAGCAGGCCAGCCATGGTCCAGCCTCTACCTAGCCAGTGACCTTGGCACATGAGCTCACCCTTGGTCCCTCCCACAGCTTCCTGTTGACTGTTGTTCAGGTGGCCACATTTCTCCATCTGGACTTCTCAGCTCTCCCAGCAGCTGTATAACTAATCCCCTGGGTTAAATTTCTTCTGCTCCACAAGCTTATAGAGCTTTGTATTTTCCTATTGGACCATGATTGATGCAGGGGGCAGATAAAATATCTGTGAATCAAAACATGGTTTAGGTACAGCCCCGCCTGAAAATGGACTCTCAAAGCCCCTCCGTGAAACACAACATAAATGTTAATGAAACAGGTACAACCAGTGATGACAACAGTGTACTAGAAAGCCAACAAACAAATGAGCAATGTGCCCAAGAGTTTGAGCCAGCAGGTGAGACTGAGTGCCTGGGTTTGATGAATGTGAAGGGGAACTGGCAGGTGGAGGGACTCAGTGTTGTGGATAAAGTCACAAGGGCAGAACTTTGATCTGATAGAGATGCTGAAGATAGAGGAAAGATAAAGAAAAAATTGACTGGAAGAGGCATTCACAGGTCACAATAATTACTAAGAAACACAAATAGGACAGGAGAAAGTAGGAACCAAAACAGAGAAATGATTAACTGAAAAATCAGGTGGGGCAGCAGGGCCAGGTCCACGGGGAGGCAGGGAGACCGTGGGACACATGTAAGGACGAGCTCCCTCTCAATTCCTTCTGGTGTCCTGGGCGCCTACTTTGCTTCACTCTATACCATGCTGGGCCCTGGCAACACTGATTAAAAAAAAAAAAATCCTAGAGAAAACAAGTATGAAGAGAGAAAACTGCAGAGGGAAATGAATACCAATAAGTAGAAAAAATGGGAGGGAGACACAAAGAGAACTATGTCGAGAATGAGTCCAGGACAATGAATGAAGAGCTGGTAGAGAGTGGACCAGGCAGAGAGAGAGAAGACACATCATTGTCTAACTGGAGGAGGGAGTCCCCACAAACAAGGCCTAAAGGGGTGTTCCTAATACCATTGAGCAGGTAAGGTGTCCACAAAATAAAAATGGGCCTGGAACCCTCTCAGATAACACAGGCCTCTTCTCTGAAAAGTAGAAACAAAAATAAAAACAAAAACCTGGAGTTAAGAGAGGCGTGAAGGAAGGACAGTGTTGAAAGCAGGGAAGGGCAGGGGTAGGGGAGCTTCCCCACAGTGGAATTACAGGGAGAATGGCTTATTGATTGTAGTGGGGGTGCTCACTCCCTTAGGGGAGACAAATGAAATACTTCATTCATTACAATTTTGTCCAGGAGCAGAGCTACTCCACCATGAAAACCAAATCAATTCTTGCTCTGTACAGCAGGTGGATCTAAAGAAGGAAAAGCCACCTTCAAGTTCAGGGGCTGAATAGCAGGCCCACGCAAGGACTGATGGTGACCAGGCATCTGCCACAATAGGCAAGCTCACTGAGAGAATGTGTGATATGAATCCTGGACCCAGGCTAGGGTCTGGGTCATACCATCAGGGCCCATGGGCACAGTCCTGGTGGCCTTGATTAGAGGTAGAAAGGGGTCAGAACCAGCGCCTATGCAGAGAGTTCAGCAGAAAAAAATATTCCCAGCAATTGGAAAAACACACAAAAGCAGAAATGGTTGGTTGAAGTATCGATGTCAGAGAGACTATTTCTATGCAAGAGGGGGAAGAGACAGGCGTAGGAGTTAAAGAATGAGAAGAAGAAGGAAGAACCCAGATATTCATTAGAAGAGAGAAAAATAAACCATGCAGACAAGGAGACTTATAAAGTGATACCATCACCAGGCATATTAGTGGAAATTCCTCAAGCCAATAGAAAAGGGAGGGAGTAAAATGAGAATGAAAGAAGAGGTAGAACGAGGGCGGGGATCGGAGGCCGACCGAGGATGGAGGTAGGAGGTGGGGTGCGTGTGGGTAAGAAGGGCGCTGCAGGTGGGCAAGCTGCCCGCTGTGCATGGAATCCACCACCTCTGGGTAGGACCTGGAGCAACCTGCGGGTCACACGCATCAGGCACAGACCAGGGGACCTGAGTTAACTTAGCTCTTGGTCTTCCTGGTGCTCTTGTCATGGGGTTTCCTGTCCATGGGCTCCTTAGCCCCACCCTGAGACACTAAGCATTTTTTCTCCTCTGTGCAGTGAACATCAGTGAGGACTCTACAGAATCCAATGATGGAGACAAGCTCCCCAAAGCCTGCACCTCAGCGTTGAAAAGGAGCATGGGTAAGGAGGTGGGAGCACAAGGCTTGGGCTGCAGGAAGCTGAATGAAGAGCTACTGTTTGCTGAGGCATCAATTCTGAGTTCGTTCTGTACCATGGACCCAGTTTACCCTGGAATCCTGTTCCCTACATTTGACTTGACCGTTTGGGGATGTGCAAAGCAATAAGAAATGATTATATTGATATGTTTTGAAGATGAGGTTATTTATTGATGGGTCCTATTAATATTTGCATGCAAATACTGATTATATAGTAAAAATAGGCTAGCAAAGTAATGATTTTGTTTTAAAATTCACTAATTGATATGACTAGAAAGTGTTGGATTTAGACAATTATTTGTAAAGAGAAGACTAAATATTTCTTTATTGGAAGGTCATATTGTCATCTAATCACAAACTTTGAATAGTGTCAAGGGTCAATTCCTCTAGCTATCTAGTGTTAGCAGAAATGGATAAGGATAAGGTATTTTGATACCCAAATTGTTGTTTTTGACAGAGTTCTCCAGCAAGTCATGACATACAGAGTGACTTTTCAAGGGACCTTTCCAAATTAGTGTCTTACTTTTTCCTTTACAACAACCCTGAGGAGTATGCAGGATGGATATTGTTGTCCTTGTTTCTGGATGAGAAAACACAATCACATAAATGTTTCAAGGTCTTCCACAAAGTCTCACGGAGACAAAGGGAAAGACAAGACTAGCTTCCTGGATTCTGGGTTATTTCCTTTGTAAAACGGGAGCTCAAAATGGTTATTAAAATGTTGTTTCCTCAGTAGGGTACAGACTGACAACCCTCAGAAGACGGAGTGGTGGGGGGAGGGAAGAGATAAACCACAAAACTTATATGCATGGACACATAACCAATGCACATGGACAACAAAGCTGGGGACGGGGTGGGGGGAATGGGAGGAGGGTGTCAATGGGGTAAAAAAGGAGAAACATCTGTAACAAAATTAAAATTAAAAAAAAAAAATGTTGTTTCCTCAATCCCCTGGGCAGCATGAGTGGTCCTAAGCTCTGCAGCTCTTTAGTGTACAGAGTGCCGATGGGTTTTCCCTGCCTACTTTCTCAGAGAATATTGGAAACATGCCTAATTGGGAAAGTACACTAAGAAATGACCTACAAACAAGTGAAAATGTTACTTCATCTTGACATTATGAAAGTACAATATTGTAAATAATATATTTGTCGTAATGCCTCACTCCATCTATCCATGTAAAATGTAAGTTTGCTCCAGTGTTTAGAGAGTGCACATTCTGACTTGTGTCTCAGTGTAGGCAAAGGGCTCTAACCAACGGTCTTGAAATAGGTCTCTGGCTCAGACACGAGATCATTTCTCAGCCTTCAGACAGGAGGAATGGCACATGGAGGACGTGTGAAGTGACAATAGAAGGGGTAGGAGGAGGAAGAGAGAGAAGAGTTCCTGTTTTCTGCTGCACTTGACTCTGAGCACATTTTGACCAAAAGTGGGTCCAGTTCATGGCAGGTCCCATTCTCTTTGTTTGGTCTGACTCTTTGGGGAACAGCAGGGAGGCAAGAGATTATTATAAAGTTGTACTTCACAGAATGAGCCCTGTTGTTTATCATGGAAAATGTAGTAGAAATACACTCCTAAAATGGAAGTATCTAGCTTACTACATCATTGAATGAATCATTAATAATAGCCACTGTAATAGAAACATTTAATAAAGCCTTGTTTTTATACAGCCATTTCCATCTCTATCACTGCCATGTTCTGTGGAACCCACGAGAGCCAAGGGTTCATTTGCTCCTAGGTAATAGTGTCCTTTTGTCACAATCTTAGCGAGGCCTCAAAAGACAACTGATTCTGCCACTAAACTGATAGGAGGAAAATGGCAAGTCAGCTATTCTTAACCCGGCACAAACTGTTGACGGATGTCTGTCCTCCAGCATGTCACAGGTCGATGTGGTGTCAAAAAAGTTCTGTACAAACTTCCTCATAAAGATTGTAAGATCTAAACAGGATATGACACCTATTTCTACCTCTGAGCACAAAGGTATTTGAGAGTATTTTTTAAAGTGCCGTTATGAAGTAAAGGAAGACCCAGACCCAAAAGTCCTACTTCTCAATTTAGTAGGGTTTTCAGTTCCTTTAGAAGAAAGAAACAGTAAATCTAACACCCTTGTAAACTCAAGACTTCTGCAATATAAATCATGCTAAAATCTGCAACTTTTATTTATTCATTTCTCTTTTTTTCACCACCACCTGTTTTTGTTTTTCTAGGTACCGTGGATCTTGGAAACAGCTCTGCTTTAGAAAAGACCAAAAAAAAAAAAAGTAAGAGTAAGATTTCACTTGCTTTTGATGTGAGAATGAGTTTTTAAATGCCAGAGTTTCATCATTATTATTATTGATAATATCATTTATAATTTGGATTGTTTCTCAAAGACATTCGTGTCCTAATCCCTAGAGCCTGTAATCTATTATTTTACATGGCAAGTGCACTTTGCAGATTTAATTCAACTAGGAACCTTAAAATGGGGGGGGGGGGGGATTATCCTGGATTGCCTGGGTGATCCAATATACTCCCATAGCCCTTGAACAGTGCAGAGCCTCTCTTGGCTGTGAAGAGAGGGAACAGTGACTATGGAAGAATGGTCAGAGAGAAGCAGCATTGCTGGCTTTGAAGGTGGAGGAGGGGAGCAGGGAACGTGAGTGACCTTAAGAATCTCTAGTTCACACAGCAGTCACCTCTGTGAGTATGATGTGAGATAGTAATTACAAGAAATACCCCCAACACGCTTTTTTCTCATGAGCTAAAATATCCTTTAATGTGTCTTTCCCTGTATTCCCGGACCTGTGAACAGCAGTCTACTCTGAAACAACGGTCTGGTTATAATTCAGTACGAAATTGGCTTAATTACAAAGGTTTGAAGTAAAATTTGCTTTTCCAACTCATATTTTCTGTTGCAAAAAAAGAAAAGATACATTGAGGAGAAACAGAGAAGACAAAGATTTCAGAAGTTCAGGAATGCTGAACTTACATGGGTTTAGACTCAAGATTTTCTCCTAAAACTTCCCCAATTCTTTTGGGAATTTAAAAATGCAATGAATTTAAGATTAATTTGGGTAGAATTAAAACTTTTTCAAGGAGAATGGCCTATGCATTTATTCATGTCACCTTTTTTGTTCTTCAATAAAATTTTATAGTTTTCTTTGTATAGATTGTGTGTTTTCACTTTTCTTGTCAGATTTGCTTAGAAATCGTTTATATGCAATAGAATTCAGACTTTAACAAAAGTGTGTAGTTTTGTAAATACCATCATGATCATGACATGGAACCATCATCCACAAAGGTCCACTTGTGTCCCTCTTTGCACATTCGAGGTCTTGACAGCAGCTGATATGTTTTTATCACTGTAGTTTGGTGTTTTGTTTTTTTTTTTTGGAATGCCATATAAATGAATTCATACAATATATAATTTATTTTCTATTAATTGATTTATTTTTGTTACAGATGTTTCTCCTTTTTCCCCCATTGACACCTTCTCCCATTCCCGTTCTCCACCCCTCACGGCATTGTTGTCTATGACCATTGGTTATATATACATGCATATAAATTCTTTGATTTATCTCTTCCCTCCCCCACCCCCACCCCCTTCTCTGAGGTTTGTCAGTCTGAACCCTACTTCTATGTCTCTGGGTCTATTTTGTTCATCAGCTTGTTTTGTTCATTACATTCCACAAATAAGTGAGATCATGTGATATTTGTCTTTCTCTGATTGGCTTATGTTGCTTAGCATAATACTCTCCAGGTCACTCCATGTCACCTCAAAGGGTAAGAGATTTTTCTTTCTTACATTTGCATATTACTCCATTGTGTACATGTATCACAGCTTTTTTGTTCACTCATCTACTGATGGACACTTCGGCTGTTTCCAGATCTTAGCTATTGTAGATAGCACTGCTATGAACATAGGGGTGCATATATTCTTTCTGATTGGTGTTTCAGGCTTCTTAGTATATAATCTTAGTAGTGGGGACACTGGTCAAATGGCAGTTCCGTTTTTTAATTTTTTGAGGAAACACAATATTGTTTTCCATAGTGGCTACACCAGGCTGTATTCCCACCAGTAGTACTAGAGTCCCCTTTTCTCCACACCCTGGCCAGCAGTTGTTTGATGATTTGTCGATGGCTGCCATTCTGACAAGTATGAGATGATACCGCATAGTCGTTTTAATTTGCATCTCTCTGATGATTAGTGATGTTGAACATTCTTTCATATGTCTCTTGGCCATTGGTATGTCCTGTTTGGAGAGATGTCTATTTAGGTCCTCTGCCCATTTTTTTTTTTTTTTCCTCACCCGAGGATATTTTCCATTTTTTGTACAGATAGAGTGGGAGGGAGAGAGAGGAAGGAGAGAGAGAGAAACATCGACGTGAAGGGACACATCGAGTGGCTGCCACCCGCACGACCAACCAGGGCCGGGGACAAACTGCAACCGAAGTACGCGCCCTTAGCGGGAACCAAACCCGGGTCTCTCCGGACGGCAGGCCGACGCTCTAACCGCTGAGCCAAACCGGCCAGGGCCCATTTTTTTAATTGAGTTCTTTGTCTTCTTTCTGTTGAGTTGAATGAGTACTCTATATATTTTAGAAAGTAACCTCTTATCTGATGTAATATTGGCAATTATGCTCTCCCATATAGTGGGTTCCCTTTCCATTTTGATGGTTGTTTCTATTTCTGTGCAGAAACTTTTTAGTTTGATGTAGTACCATTTATTAATTCTTTCCTTTTTATTCCTCTTGCCTTATACGTTGTATCGGTGAAAATTCTGTTGCATGTGATGTCTAAAATTTTGTTGCCTACATTTTCTTCTAGATTTTATGGATTCAAGAGTCACATTTAAGTATTTTATCCATTTTGTGTTTATTCTTGTGTATGGTGTAAGTTGGTGGTATAGTTTCATTTTTTTGCATGTAGCATTTTTTCCAATATTCCCAACACCATTTATTAAAAAGGCTGTCTTTGCTCCATTGTATACTATTGCCACCTTTCCAAATATTAATAGAGCATAGTGTCTTGGGTCAATTTCTGGGGTCTCTGTTTCGTTGATTTATATGCCTGTTCTTGTGCCAGCACCAGGTGTTTTGATTACAGTAGCTTTGTAGTATAGCCTGATATCTGGTATTGTCCTTTTTTAAGATTATTGTGGCTATTCAGGGTCTGTTTGGGTTCCATATAAACTTTTGGAGTATTTGTTCTAGTTCTGTGAAATATGTTGTTGGTATTTTAATATTGCATTCGATTTATAGATTGCTTTGGGTAGTATGGACATTTTAATAATGTTAATTCTTCCAATCCATGAACAAGGTATATGCTTCTACTTTTTTTTATATCTTCCTCTATTTCTTTTTTGAGTGTCCTGTAGTTTTCTGCAAATAGGTCCTTTACTTCTTAGGTTAAGTTTATTTCTAGGAATCTCAATTTTTTTGCCATAATGATAAGTGGGATTGTTTTTTTAGTTTCTCCTTCTGTGAGTTCATTATTGGTGTATAAAAATGTCATCAATTTCTTCATGTTAATTTTGTATCCTGCTACTTTGCCAAATTATTTTATTAAATCTTGTAAATTTTTGATGGAGTCTTTAGGGTTTTCTATGTATAATACCATGTCATCTGCAAATAATAACAGTTTCACTTCCTCCTTTCCAGTATGGATCCCTTTTATTTTTTCTTCATGTCTCATTGCTGTGGCTAAGATTTCCAATACTATGTTAAATAAGAGTGGCAAAAGTGGGCATCCCTGTCTTGTCTCTGTTCTTAAGGGAAATGCTTTTAGTTTTGCCCATTGAGTATGATGTTGGCTGTAGGTTTTTCATATATGGCTATTATTATGTCAAGATATATTCCCTCTACTTCCACATTGCTGAGCGTTTTTATCAGAAATGGGTGCTAAATTTTGTCGAATTGCTTTTTCAGCATCTATTGATATGATCATAGGGTTTTTATCTTACATTTTGTTTGGGTGGTCTATCACATTTATTGATTTGCGAATACTGCACCATCCTTGCATCCCTGAGTTGAATCTTACTCTAACCGCTGAGCCAAACCGGTCAGGGTGGAAATAGCTTTTAATAAAGGACACACCATTGTCAGACTCAGATGGTCCAGCCAGCCATGCAATTTGCAGATGGTTCTAGAGTTTCCTGAGCTCCTCTTTCATCTCTGGAGAGAGCTGATGTGGGGGGAAATGGAGCAAAGCAGAGAACACAAGTAGCAGGCAGACACCGTCTCTGTTAGGTTACCCCACCATTATCCTCTTGCTCACTGCGTCGGAGCTCAAACTAGGAGCCACATGCACAGTCTCTGACTTTGTCTCCAGCTACCTGACTGCAGGGAAATAGCAGAGCTGGGGAGCTTCCTGCAGCACATGACAGCAGCCCTGTGTTTCCTTGTCATGTAAGAATCTGGGGGAGGGGGTGACTGGACTGGGAGTTAAGACACTTTTATTGATGACTGGTGTCTCTGGTAAAGCATTCTGTTTGCTGTGAGATTTGAGACATAAAATCAAGGTAGACACTCTGGTTATGCATCAAAAATGCCACTGAAAAAAGACTTTGGCACTCTAGAGATGTGTGGAATAAAGTTTCCTAAGTACCCCTATGTCTTTATAGAAACTACCTCAACATGGGAGGAAGTAGTACATGGACAACTGTAAAATGAGATAGAATGAAGAATCTTCTCTTTCAGGGACAAAGCATAGCACCAATAAGAGTGTGAATTTTCATGATGAAATACTTCCTGTGACCTGTGGGAAATCATCGGGGATGTTAATTAAGAGAAAATTGGAACGAGGTAGGTTTCAAGGTCTACTTTAATTTGCAATAGTTATATGAAGAAATCACCCATGTGATTGGTATTACCCATGTGAATTACCCATCATTCAAGAAATTGGGGCCCCAGTTTGGCTTGAGAGGAGGTAGGGATCCCTAAAGATGATGTTTTCATATATTAAGAAATGGTGCATAGTAAGTGCTCCTCCCACATGGAAGTGTCCATGAGGATGCCCAAGGAACCACAGGGAATGTCAGTGTATGGGTGAAAAAGATGGCATATTTTACTACGAATCAGATATAACAGGGAAGAAGCCTTCAGAGTCCACCTTATATTCTATACCCCTGCTGAAAGTCATCACCAGGACAGGGTGTTTGATGTAGCGAGAAGATCAGAGAATTTTGAATCAGAAAACCTGAGTCCCAGCCTCAGCTCTGCCAAGACTGACCAAGTACAGATGGGGACCTTTCTGGGTCTGAAACTTCTCATCTAAGAAATGGGTAATAATTAAAAACCTGCTTTGTGGTGTGATTTTGAGAGTTAATTTACACAATGAACATAGAATATTTTGTGATTTTAACATTATAAAGCTCTCCAATAATTGTCTATTATAATGAACTTCATATCGGATTATTTACAATATGCCTCTGTGAACACCAATTAATATAAATAAATGTTTGGATCATAACTATTTTTAAACAGCTTTACTGAGTTATAACTCTCATATCATATAATTCACCACTTAGAGTGTAGAATTCACTGTTGAGTTTTATTGTTTGTTTATTTTGTTTATTCACAAAATTATAAAACATTCATCACAATCTAATTTTAGAACACTTTTGTCCCCCACTATGGAAACCCCAGGTCTTTCAGCAGTCAGTGCCCACCCACCACCCAGCCCTAAGCAACCACTAATCCATGTTATGATCTATAAACTGGCCTATTGTAAGCATTTCATATCAATTGACTGATATAACATGTGCCTTTCTGTGACTGATTCTTTTGCTCAGCATGGTATTTTCAAGGTTCACACATATAGTACCATGTATTATACATTATTCTTTTTTATTGTCAAATAATATAATAGTCCATGGTATGGATATACAATATTGCATTTATAAGTTTAGGTTTTCTCACTCTTTAGCTATTATGGATAATGCTATTTTGTGTAAAGCTTTCTGGTCCTATTTTTTTTTAATTCTTTTTGCTACATACTCTGTAGCGGAATCACAGGATTATATGGTAATCCTACGTTTAATTTATTGAGGAAAAAACAAACTATTTTCCACAGTATTTCTCCAGGTTACATCCCCACCAGGAATTCTGAGGTGTCCAACTTCTCTGCATTCTCACCATCACTTGTTATTATGTCTTTTTCATTACAGCCATCTTACTGAGCAAGATGAATTATCTCAACGAAGTTTTGATTTCCTTTTCTCTAATGACTAATGTTGTTAAGTACATAACTATTTTTTATGTTTAAGTTACACTTTCCACTGAAACCTATTTCACAATGACTTTAAAGCCAGCTCTCCATGATTTCAGGGACAGAAAAATATCTGCTCAATAATGCCACTGAAATGCAAGAAAATTTTTGTGATACAGTGACCCGTCCCGCAGGTCGAGCAAGGAAGACTCTAGAGGGGGAGTGAGGATGAGGAGGGACAAGAGACACGAGACATGGAGACAAGACAGGGTTCTGATCAAGTCTCGTTTATTCAGGGGTAATTCATACAATATATAGGGCAAGAAGTGCCTGTTGCCAAGCACCAGGCTTGCCCGAAGCAATTCTAGGAAATAGTACAAAAGGAACAAAAGGTCAGTAAAGACTGGCTGATGAGTAAATGGTTACTTAAAGAAATGCAAAATACAGAGATAAAGAAATGCAGAATGCAGAGATATCCTGCTTTGGGGCAGGCGATGGCAGAGCAGATTATAACAAAATTGACGCCATGCAAAATGTCTCCCACAGGTCCCCCTTTTCTTTAATTTTTTAAGGCCGAAATAATACCTTGAGGGGACTGTGCCTGTCTTAGGTCAGGAAACTTGCACACGGTGCCAACCTGTCCTTACCCGTCATTGGAAAGCAAGGCAGCATAAGGCCTTGTTCCTGTCTTAGGTGGTGGTTGGCCACGCGTGTGAGTTCCAGTTGCCCGTCTCTGGCTATCCAGTCCAGCGCACCAAGATGACGAGGTTTTTGAGACTCACTATTTGCCATCTCGGGCATAGTCATAGCTTACTGACTCACAGCTAGAGTGAGCTTTATGTCGGCCATTTCAAGTCTATGATAATGGACCTGTATAGATTGCAACTCAATGGCATCTGTCTGCTGCTTGATAAAAGCCATCACCTCATTGAGTGAAAAGGCCTAGTAAGGGGCCCAACAGAGGGCACCCCATTTAGCCTGCTCCAAAGGGGGGTTATTGAAAAGTTCTTTTAAGCAGCAGCATTCCTGCAAGGCAGTCACATGGGGGGCCAAACAAGGTCCTCAGAAGCTGGTCAGGCTGTGGAGGAGGCCCCAAACCTCCTTCCACAAGCAGGCAAAGATGCAGTAGTATCCCTGCAGTAAGATTTCAGCCTTCCGGTCCATTCCTGAAAAGAAAAAAGGCCTCTCAGGGCGAATTTTCATCCCTGGAGTTATCTATATGGTTATCTGTTATTCCTTTAACTTGATCAATCTGTTTAACCAAACGCTCTGGTAGCCACCTGGCAGATTTCATTTTCTTAGAGTAAATGCATACAGAACCTCGGCCCCAGATGAGGACTGGGTCTGGGCCATGCCAAGAGTTGGTTAGCGGATCTTTCCACAACACTGAGGCAAATTGTTTTTGAGTTTCTGTATGCCAAAAGCGATTAGCAGCAGATTGCCCATCAGTGTCCAAATTTAAAAAATTGAAGATAAATAAGGCATGAGAGAGAATATTTCTGGGTGACCCCCTTGTGGGGTACCATTCCCCCTTTTTTATTTTATTAATGGTGATCTTTAAAGACAGATGTGCTCTCTCTACAATCCCTTGGCCCTGAGGGTTGTAAGGTATACCTGTTATGTGTTGAATATTGAGGCGTTTGCAAAATTGGGAGAAGGCTGAACTTGTATAGCCTGGGCCGTTATCGGTTTTCAATTGCTGTGGGCATCCCAGAACTGTAAATGTGGTTAGCATGTGACTGATCACATGTTTTGTGGCTTCACCAGTTTGGAAGGAGGCATAAATGAATCCACTAAAGGTATCTATGATATTTAAGCAGTTTTTAACAATTTGCCTAGCTTGTTCCCTACTCATCGTAATGAGATTGGAAACTGATAATATGGCTCAATGACCTTTTTAGATGTGGCAGGCAAGTGAATCCACATTAAGGGCGCTGTCTTGCCAGAAAACAGCGGTAGGGGAGAGAGCAGTCTTACAAATAATAAACTTTAAAGTCTTAGTGTAATCCATAAAGGTGGTTGTTTGAGAATGGATAGCCTGTTCGACTTTGCGTATAGCCTGTTTTCCTTCCAAGGTAAGTTCACGGGGAGAAGTAGGGTTGGCATCTCCCTGCAGTATATCATACAGGGGTTTAAGTTCTCCTTTACTGATTTTTAAATAGGGCATAAGCCAATTAATGTCCCCTAGCAATTTTTGGAAGTCATTTAGGGTTTTAAGCTTGTCTAATTTTAGTTCTAATTTTTGACAGGAAATTAGGGACCCTCGCATTTGAAAACCAAGATATGTATAAGGGTCTACGAGTTGGACCTTGTCAGGGGCTATTTCCAGGCCTTTGTCTCCTAAGGCAATGCGCATCATCTCATAGCATTTCAAAACCTCGCTCCCCTCTTTTAGGGCTATGAGGATATCATCCATGTAATGTATAATGTACATATTTGGCCAATTGTCTCTAACTGATTGTAAGGCTGAGGCCACAAAGGATTGGCATAGGGTAGGGCTATTAGCCATTCCCGGTGGCAGAACACGCCATTGGAATGTTTTCATAGGCGCTTTGAAATTTATAGCTGGTAAGCTGAATGCAGATCGCCTCTGATCATCTGCATACAGAGGAATCGTGAAAAAACAATCCTTTAGATCAACAATGACTTTGAAATAACCCAAAGGTATGGCAACAGATGGGGGAAGTCCTGGCTGTAAGGCTCCCATTAGTGCCATAGTCTTATTTACAGCTCTTAAGTCTTGCAATAGCTGCCATTTACCAGATTTCTTTTTAATGACAAAAATAGGAGTATTCCAAGGGGAGTTACTAGGGACAATGTGGCCAGCATCAAGCTGCTCCTGTACCAGCTGTTGTGCAGCCATCAGTTTTTCTGCTGTTAGAGGCCATTGATCAACCCACACCGGCTCCTCAGATAGCCACGTGATCTTTTCTGCATGGGTCACAGGAGTGTCAATGGCCCCTATGGAAAATGGTCTAATCCTGCCCTATCAGTCTTTGGGGAGAGCTCTATGGGTTCTGTTATACCCGTATTATTTTTTCCCAGCCCTTGGCCTGGTAGATATTCGGTTTTCAACATTTGGGTAGTAATAACAGCATTCGGGCTTCCCATTATTAATCCTAATTGGGATAAGAGGTCTCTACCCCAAACATTTATAGGCAATCTAGCTATAACATATGGTTGTATGGTGCCCTGGTTACATTTCTGATGTTTCCAAGTTAATAACTTTGAATTTCTCTCTGGGTTTTGACTTTGCCCTATTCCTTTTAGGTGAGTCAGAGTTGCGTCTAAGGGCCAAGCTGTAGGCCAGTCTTTCTTTTTAATTATTGTGACATCAGCCCCTGTATCTATAAGCCCTGAAAATTTCTTACCATTTAACCAGAGAGACATAATGGGTTTTTGTGCTGATATGACCTCTGCCCAGTAAACGTCTGATGACCCAAAGCCTTGATCACCTCTTTGTCCTGATACTGCCCTATTTGTGGTGGGCATCAAAGGCAGGAGCAGCAATTGAGCGAATCTTTGTCCTATGATGACAGTATTAATATTTTTGGGGGATGACATCATAACCTTAATTTCTCCGGAATAGTCATTGTCTATGACTCCTGGAAGGACTTGTAGTCCATTCATTGTTGAGCTGCTACGTCCTATTATTAGTCCAAATGTGTTTTCAGGCAGAGGGCCAAAAATTCCAGTAGGAAGGGCCTGAACTCCCATTTCAGGAGTTAATACTGTATAGGTGGTGGAACTGAGGTCCAATCCTGCGCTTCCTGTGGTGGCTCTGAGGAGGTTTGAAATGGATTGTTGTTTGTTGGAACAAAACTGACTGCCCCAAAGATTTGTTTGGGTTTGGGGGCCTGGGGCTGGCCCCTGTACCCGTTTCCCTGCATCGGGGATAGTTCGTTACCCTGAACATCCTTTTTAGACCTACATTCATTAGCCCAATGTTTCCCCCTTTTACATCTAGGGCAAACTCCTGGAGTCTGAGTTTTTGAGTTATTAGTGGGATTTCCTTTACAATTCCTTGTGAAATGGCCAGTTTCCCCACAGTTAAAACATTTACTATTGTTTTGTTGGGTTAAGAATTGTCTGACTGTATACCCTTGCAAGGCGGCAGCCATGGCAAGGCCCTGTTGATAGGCAGCCCCAATATCAGAGCATAGGCGAATATAGCCAGTTAAATCAGTCTTTTTCTTATAAGGTCTAATAGCGGCTTGACAGGCAGCATTAGCGTTTTCAAAAGCCAATTGTTTAACAAAATCTGTACCGGCGTCTGCATTACCGAAAATTCTGCCTGCTGCAGTAATTAAGCGGTGAACAAAATCTGCAAAAGGCTCATCAGGTCCTTGTTTAATGTTAGTAAGGGAGGAGCTCATGTCGCCTTTGGTGGGCAGCTTCCTCCATGCTCTAGTGCCTGCTGTCTGAATTTGGGCAAAAAGGCCTGCATCATATTGCATTTGGGCATCACTATTGGCATAATTTCCTTCTCCTATTAGCATATCGAAATTCCATCCATTACCAACCTGCACATTGCGTTTAGCAATGTCTCTGCAGTTCTCTACATATTCTGATTTCCATAGGAGATAGTCTCCTCCAGCAAGTGTCGCTCGGGCTAGTGTTTGCCAATCCCCAGGCGTAAGCCAATTCTCGGCTACTGATTCTAAAATTGCCGTAGTATACGGGGCTGTGGCTCCGTATTGTGCTACAGCAGTCTTTAACTCCTTTATTAATTTAAAATCAAACCCACTATGGTGGCGCCAAGCCTGTCCTTGCGCGTCCACTGTTTCTGTTACTGGAAAAGCCTCTAAATCATCTAGCTCTGGTACAAATTGCAAGCGGGGAGGGATTTTGGGGACAGCTCCCCTCATGGGTGGTTTTTAGGCATAATTTTATTCCGAGTGGGCTCGTTCTTTTCTTCCTCATTATCACTATTGAATGACATGAGGTCTTCACATTCTTTACTTTCATTTTCATTCCCCCCCGCTTTTTTTTTCTGTAATATACCCTCACCATTTTCTACTATATTGGCAACGAGAGGATCAGAATGTCTCTGAGACAGAATCTCATCCATTAAATTCCAATAAGAAAAAGCAGTTACCGAGACCTTCTCGGGTCCATAAGTCTTATAGTAAACTCTAAGAGCATCACCAACTATTTTCCATCATTTTTGATCTATAATTCCCTCTGTTCCAAACCAAGGACAAACTTCTTTAATATAATCAAAATACTGACACAAATGCTTAATTTTCACCTTTACTCCTCGTGCCTTTGTAGCCTTTTTTAGTCCTTCAACGAACGCCTTATCTTGGCTCAATGCTTGACCCATAATCGCCGTTCACTTACCCGAGGGGTGCAGACGTAGCAGGTTCCCACGTCGTTCCCCCGTGCTGGAGCCCCACGTTGGGCGCCACTTGACCCGTCCCGCAGGTCGAGCAACGAGGACTCTAGAGGGGGAGTGAGGATGAGGAGGGACAAGAGACACGAGACATGGAGACAAGACAGGGTTCTGATCAAGTCTCGTTTATTCAGGGGTAATTCATACAATATATAGGGCAAGAAGTGCCTGTTGCCAAGCACCAGGCTTGCCCGAAGCAATTCTAGGAAATAGTACAAAAGGAACAAAAGGTCAGTAAAGACTGGCTGATGAGTAAATGGTTACTTAAAGAAATGCAAAATACAGAGATAAAGAAATGCAGAATGCAGAGATATCCTGCTTTGGGGCAGGCGATGGCAGAGCAGATTATAACAAAATTGACGCCATGCAAAATGTCTCCCACAATACAGGGCATAGGATGTGGCTTTGGTGCCATTGTGAGCAACACGGTCCCCACTTGAGATTTCAATGCAAAGCAAGAAATCTCCTTGGAGGGGACTTACATGTTGGGTTTGAGGATTCTCAAGTATAAAGACTAGGCCAGACTTTCCTGCTATTGATCTTGAACCCAAATTGGATGGCTTCAGGCACAATGTGGTAGGAGGTCAACGTCTGAGCTCTGAGGACAAAGAGGTCTCAGTATCAACTTACCCCGTCTTACAGGAGTCACGATGAAGTGCATAAGAAGCGATGATGGAAACTGGTTCAGCCTCAGGGAACTGGAAATCAGAGGAGGCTACGAAAATGCAAATAATTGGAAGAACAGTCTGCGCTGCGATGGGATACCCCTAAAAAAGCTGATAATGGTATTCCAGTGTTGGGACAGGGGAGAGGCCTTTTTGTTGTTGTAGTCAAATATTGCTATTTTCTCACCAAATATACGTTAAGTTATAGCTAGAGCCCTGAGGTCCTTGAACTTATCCTTTTCTAAGGCAGAGTTGTCCGTCCCTCCTGTCTCAGTACAAAGCAGCTCAACAATTTCTCAAAGAAGCTCCTTCCAGGGAGATGCAGGAGCTTGGATGAGGGAAGGGTCATGCTGACAGGTGCTTGCGGACAACTTTGTGCACTAAAAGAGAGAAGATGGTCTACAGTCACACATGTGGGCTGAAGGCACTCGAGAGAAAGAATAATGTGAACCACAACTAACGTGGCTCCGTGGGTTAAAGTAGAGGATTGCATCTGATAGGATGGCATAATCCATCAGTTGGGGTTATTTGTGGAAGGATTTAATGCCAGGCTAATGAGTTCAAACTCATAGCATAGATAAAGCAGAACCAGGGAGTCTCCTGAGGTATGAAATGACATACTTAAAACAGCATCTCAGACATGGGGCCTGCAAATGACTTCACTGTCTTCCTGCCCAAGAAGCCTTTAGTCAACCCCCATGTTCAGCTCCAATGTCACCCTCTCTGAATATTCCCTGACTGACCTGCCTCGTCATCCCTTCCCTGGGCCCCACTATTAAGTCCCTTCTCACACTGGTTTATATTTATCCCTTCACACAATTTCTTGTTCTTTTTCTGCCTCTAGAGTTTGCACATGTGTGTGTGCCCAACACTGTCCAGAGTGTCTGACACCCTGTCGGTGTGGGATACAAGTGTTGGTTGAATTGCCCTAGCGTGAGGACATAACCTTGAGTGGCACTTGTGGGAATAGAAAGGAGGTGAGAGGTGTCAAAGAGATTGTGAAGGAAAACCTCTTAAAACATAGGGGAAAAGCAGAAGAGCAAGGAAACGTGTTCTAAAGGTGGTTTTCTGGGTAGCAGTGATGAATTCTCAAATAAGTACAGGTGAGAAGAGGGAGATCTCAGTTTGGTTTCAGTTGACAGTGGGACATCCAAGAAGAAATATTTATGAGGAGGTTAGAAATGCCAGACTCACAAAACATGAAATAAGGTCAACCAACCATACACTTGGATCTTTTTATTTTTCAGGAAGGAACACTACCTCCACCTCCAAGAGCAGCCGGTAGAGGAAAAGCGGTGATTATCACTTTATACAAGTTCTCATTACATAACTGGTTTTACATGCACAGCATGTCTTTTATGTGTTCTCAGTTGTATAATTAACATTATTTCCTATTCTCCTCTCCCCTGCCTTTATTTTATTTAATTAATATATTTTGCATGTGCCTTCAGATTTTCTCCAATGGACATTAGGTTGTATGCAAGGTCCTCTTTGAATGGTAAATCATTTGAGAGGAGGATAATAAGGGGCCATCAAAAGTAATCCCATACCTGAGTTTTCGCTATAGATGCAGATGTCCAAGTTGTAAGAGCAAACATAATTACAGAGTACATAAAAGCATTTCTTAATAAGGTCACAGAGTTATCTTCAACTCAATCCCAGATTTTTTTTTTCAAAAAGGTTACTATTTTCTAACTTTAATGAAATCTGATGGAGCAAAAATTTGCTCACCATCATCCAGATGAACCAGGTCTAGTATGAAGTCTATCTTGAAACATATAGCAAACCATATACTTTGTCATAAAATAGGCAATGAAAAACATATTTTTTCTGATTTTCACATCCTCTTCAATAAAACATACACACAGACATGCAAAATGCTTCCTCAAGCAGAAACAATTGGCCTATTCTTCATGAGGATGGTGCTGTTGGGGAGGGGGCTCTTGGGCGATGGACGTATCTTACATGAGGCTCTAACTTGGAAAATTGTTCACTTTGATGCTGCCCCTTTGGCTCCCCCTATGGGTGGGGCAGGCCTCCTTTCTACCTGTGGAAGTTTTTCATCCCCTGTGGAAAAAAGGCCATGGAGGCAGCAAGCATAGTTTCAGGAGTAAGTGAGAGTTTCTCCAAGACTGAGTATGAATGAGAACTTGAGGAGAAGGAAAAGTGAAAATTCTGTAATAGGTTATACGTAGCTGGCCACTGAAACTTGATCTTCCACTGGGAGTGAGAAGTTCAGGCCTTTACATTTCTGAAGTTCTGGTTCTTTTAACGGCCAGGGCTTGGGACATTTCACCCTGTAGGTTTACTGAAGAGAAATGATTGTTTCACCTATTCTGTGACTCTTTAAAGAACAGTGCCTCTGCCACTCTCCACGTGTCTAGAGTTAATCTGGATTATCTAAAAGAGTGAGCAACTTCCAACCCACAGGTCCTTTCCTTATCCATGGGTGCAACACTTTGCAGAAACAAGGCTCACTTGCCCCTCTATCTTGTGCGTCCTTGATCAAGAACAGAAGTGAGTCAGAGTCAGGACCCAGTACTACCTCAGTGGATCCTCTCTGCCACCCAGAACTTGTCTTGCTGATAAAGTTTCCTGGTTTCTGGAAATTTCAGTGTCATTCTTGGCACCACAAGACAGCTTCCTGTCTCCAGATGAGGGCCACTTGTACTTTCTGGTGACAATTGCTGTGTTGTCAAATGACCTGATATACTTAGCCAGGCAATCATTTATTGTATGTTAATATTTGCTAAATATATAGCATGTAATCTCTTTTCCTAAGTGAAACAATACTCATTTATTTACTCATTTAACATATAATTATTGAGCTCATAAAAAATACCCAATGTGCATTGAAGAAGATTGAAATAATATCCTTGACATCAAGTATTGTTTCAACTTCATTGTCTGCCATGAAGAATAACTGGGGAGCATGGGATTCTAGGCTACCCAGAAAGGCAGACAGTGACAAGAGCATTTCTCAGGTCATTTTCCAGTGGATCACACTTGTCTATGACCTCACTGGACTGGGTAGAGATCAAAGCTGAGGCTGCCTGAAGGGAAGGAATCCAAGTCATTCTATTGAATATACAAAAACAATGTAAGTGTAGTGCCCAGTAGTCAGTTTCCTGTGAAAAGTCAGCCAGATGCCATCTCTGGAAAAAGAACTGTAGGCCTAAGGACCTTAGATTTGTTTCAACTTTGGGGTGGTGCCCCAGAAGAGCTATAGGAGGTGGTAGAGTTATCTCTGGGATACTGTATGGTTCCCAGGACTCTGAATGATAGAGGAGACCCAGAGGGTCATGTCATACTACTCATGATCAAGAGTCCATGGAGAGGAGAAGACAACTGTCCCAGCAAGGGTGTCCTCACTCCTGATAGTAATCTTTCATAGGATAGATATTACAGGCTAATTCATCATTGACTTGTTCAGGCTAAATCTCAACTCAGACTGCACACTGTAATCACCAGACCTTTGGAAAATAACATAGTCTAAAACCCACCCTAGACAAATGTTGATTAAATTATTCTGAGATGACTTGGACATTAGAATTGTTAAAATGTTTCCAAATGATTTTTACACTAACTTACTCATTCTGTGACTTAAGAAGAATACCAATACCCATGCCCTACCCAGACAAATGATTTGGAATCTCTGACATTGGGGCCAGGACATTATTATTTTATATACTTTCCTCACACAATTCAAATGTGCAGCTGGCGAAGAAACAAAGACATAAGAACCTAGTCTTGATTAAATGATTAGGGACACAAAATTATTTTGTATTGGTTACATATGTTATTTCCTTGTTCTTCTGAGAAGAGGGTCACCAATTTCTGAAGAACAATTAAGGGAATGTGTGGGTCCCTACAGTAAGAAGAAGGAAAATGGCCTTAGACCTCCATGTTAGAACAGTCTCAGTCCACATTGGGGATGGGATTCAGTATTCTTCCAGAACACTGAGTGGGAGCCCTTGGCAAGATGTTTATCATTTTTGATATTTCTCATACATGACCATTTTTAAAAGCAAAAGAAAATGACCAGAACCTAAATTGCCCCACACAAGAATTTTCATCCAAAAGTCCAGAATAAGATTCAAAATAATTGTTAATTAGTAACTTTTCATCTTTTATTACTTTCTACCTGAAAAGACATAACATAACTATGTTTTAAATCACTCTGTCCAATGGCTTCAGGAAGGACATTTCTAACCTTTGTGTGTTGTTAGCCGAGATATAATACAGACTTTGAGAAACAGAGAACTTTTCTCTATGTATTAAGGTGGAACCATTCGTTAGGGTCTTAGCAACCCTGTACACAGTGGACCCTGCAGGGACAATGGAACTAACACAAGAAGTTTAAAAATTACTGTGAGAAGGAGTGGGGATAGATAGGATCGGGGATACGAGGGAGAGTATAGAACCAGGATGAATTCTCAGGTTTGTGTTCAACGGTGTACGTTTAATGAAATGGAAGCACCAAGAACAAACATGTAGTGGGTGTGAGGACAGGAGAACATGCTACGTTTTGACCAGATGAGTTTGGGGTGTGCTTTAAAGGCCCAGGGGGAGATGCTGGGTGAGCGTAGGGTGTGCATGAATGCACAGGACAGGCTGGACATCTGGGAGCTGGGACATAGTGAGTAACTGCAGCTTTGAGAATGATTTAATGGAACCATGAGAGAGTCTGTCTGAACGTTAGAGGAAGAGAAGGAGGACAAAGGAAAGAGATACAGCAGTGAGGCTGATGGAGTAAACCCAGGAGAGATGGTGCAGACCTCACATGTTTGGAGAGAGCAGAAATGGTCATGGCAGAGAAAGGTGGACATTGTCATCCCTGCCTCCTCCTGCTCCTCAGTGGACCACTTTCCCTCCACCCAGTACTCATCAATGGGTGGGCCAGTCCCCAAGTCAGTCTCATATGTGTCACTTCAGATGGTCACACGGGGGTAGACATTTCTTCAGTACACCATGGGATAGACAGGATGTTTCTATCTGGGATAGAACTACTCCCATGATGTTCTCAAACTGTCTCAATTCTCCGAGAAGACAGAACCAGAGGAAATATAGTTCCTGATTCATATGTAAATGTTGATCTTCATCATTTTTTTTAAAAAATTGGTTTTCAGTGTTTTTTTGTTTAAATGCTTTTATTGATTTTTTTTTTTTTTTTTTTAGAAAGAGAGGAAGTAAGAGAGATAGAAACATCGATTTGAAAGAGAAACATTGGCCCGGCTGGTTGAGCATCAACTCATGCACCAAGAGGTCGCTGGTTTGAAAACCGGTCAAGGCACATGCCCAGTTGTGGGCTAAATCCCCAGAGGGGATGCAGGAGGTGGCCAATCTATATTTTCTCTCATAGATGTTTCTCTCTCACTCTCTCTTCCTCTCTCTCTAAAATCAATGAAGAAAAAAAGTATTTAGAAAAAGAGAGAGAAGCATTGATCAACTGCCTCCTGCATGCCCCCTACTGGAGACTGAGCTCGCAACTTGGGCATGTGCCCTGACCGGGAATTGAACCAGGACCCCTCAGTCCATAGGACAGTGCTCAATCCACTGAGCCACACTGGCCGCAGTTTTCTGTTTTAATCACCTCCTCTTCACCCCACTGATGAGGGAAGATGTCCTCTGGACAGTTTGGGAGATGCCAAATAATGGCTCCTGTCACGGGGCAGATGGATGGACAGGTGGTTATTAGTCACATATACTCCCAGACCAAGGAAGGAGGGCAGTGCTAGCCGTGCAGGCCTCACCAAGGTTGCCAGGAACAGAGAGAACAACCAGGGCTGTGGAGGGTGAGATGGCCCCTTGGATTCTGTGGAAGGTTATGACTGGCTTGTTTAACTAACCTTCACCTGATATTCCAGAATGGGCAGGGTTACGTAGCAAGATCCTCTGGATAAGGTCCCACAGCTGAACAATGCGCCTTGTCAGGGGACCATGTGTAACCCAGCCCACCCTTGAATGTCGGGTTTAGTTCCCTGTCAGCCATAGAATCTCGGGTTTCATAGGGAAAACCCTTCCGGTCACACAGGCCACTCCTCTTGAACTTGACTGCAAACCAAGAATTCTTTATCCGAAACCTCCACTCCATGCCTTTGTCCATAGCTCAGGGTGGGGCACCGAGTGTCCTTACAGGTTCGCACAAAGGCAACGAGTTCTAGATTCCCACCACGCTGATCTTCGGGGTCTCACTGGGGATACAGACATTGTTTTACCTTCTGGCAGGAAAACTCAGAAAAATGCCGGATCTGCCAGGATGAAGGGAAGCTCTACTGCTGCATCGCTTGTTTGGGCTTCTTTCATGGGAACTGTCACCTTCCGCCTGTGGAGTCGGAGAGGTTTGTGGGATGCTGTCCTTTCTCTCCTTCTAGGGATCCTCTCCTGCCCTGCACACTCCCCCTGCAGAACCCTCCTCATGTCCTGATGGGGAAAGAGCAGGGTTGGCGGTATGGGGTCTGATCCCGGGAGCTGTTTAAAGACACTGTCAGCTGGAGGGCAATGTTCTGCTCTCTCCTCTGGGAGGCTGAGACTGGTGGCTGGGTCCTGCGCCTACATACCGCTACTGTCCTTACCAGGACTTACCCGTAGACTCCTGTTCACAGGAATGGACATGCCAGATGTTTGTGTTCTATGCTTATTCAGAAAAGGCAGGAAACATGGACTGATTCCCTCATTTTACCATGTTCTCGACAGACTAATGGAGGCCCAAGGTCCCCAGGGGTTAAGGCCCAGCCTCTGACACTCTGTCCTGGAGGGCAGGGCCCCTTGTGCTCCCAGCAGCTCAGGTGGGGAAAGAAGAGCCCACCACTCACGCTGACACCACCTTCCACCCACAGAACCCCTGCTGCTACCATTGGTGGGAGGAGGGTGATCACATGAGAGTCCTAGAGAATCTGTGGGGTGTCCTCTTCAACTCCAGCTGTGCCCATCGGCTATTCCTGAAAGGAAAACAGTGGCAGCCATAGGAATGGTGGCTTTTCTGGGGCTTTGCTTTGCTCACTTACATCTGACATCTCAGGAACCCTTGGAGATGTACCTTCTGCACAATACAAATGGGTCCAAAAAGTCAGAAGTATTACAAGGAATCTGAGATCCTCGGGAGGCTGATGGGGAGTGAGGAGAAGTTGGTGAGTTGGATTTGAGCCCAAGACCTCTCTCCTTTGTGTTTCTGCTCATGTGTGGGAAGTCAAACAGTCATGGGGGGTGGGGGGTGTCCAATGGTGCCTGCTCTTCTGACCATGCCTCAACCACACTGAAAACACCAGAACGTGTCTGCAGAAGAAAACTGTTATTACATGTTAGTGTCTAAGAGCAATACCTGTTTGGGGAAACTTCCAGAAGACTGGTGTGGTCATGTCCGCACATGCATAAGGGCTCATTCTCTTCAAGCAGCTTTTATTCACAGCCTCCTTCTTTTGCAGAAATGTGACTTCATCCTCTTAAAGGTCTATCAGCAATTAGAGAGCAACGTTTTTCCGAATATTCCTCATGAAAATTATGTAAGTAATGACAACAAACCATGATTACAGGCCACCATGATGTTACCTGACCTGACACGGGCTCTTGTGGGACCTGGGAGCTGGAGCCCATGGGAGGCAGAGCCCGAGCTGCATTATATGCGCCCTCTGCTTCCCTGGGTTCCATGGGAATCCACGGGCAGCAGACATTGATGTGTCAATAGAGTCAGTAATGCTCTATTGACGTATTTTTCACCAGTTTGAACAGGCTTCTCGATGCCTAAAGAAACTTAGGATGTTGGACAACATCAAGAAGAATCTCATTGAGGGACAGTACCAGCAAGTGGAGGTGTTTGTGCGGGACATGAACCACATTTTTCAGGACCCCAGGGTAAGTGGCTCTCCCTGCTGCCATTTCCTTCTCTGTCCATTGAGTCACTCTACCCTCATTTCCTGCTCCTGCGAAATTGTAGTTTCCCTCATCCGAAGACAAGCCTGTGTAAGCAAGGGTTCAGAAAGTGAGTTTTTAATTGAGGATTTAAGTTCACCAGACAGAGTAAGAGTGAGTCAGGAGGTGTCCCTGCAACCAGACGCCAGGCCCCTGAGAGCTCCTTCCTCCCTTCAAAGGCGACAGGTGCCCGTGGAGAACAGTTGCGTCCTCCCTGCTCCAAACCTTAGGAGAAAATTCAGTCCTAAACCATGTTGTTCTTCTTATCTGTCTCCAAATATATTCGATCAGACCTCTCAGAAGTCCCCAAGTGCAAATTCATTTGCTTGTAAATGAGCCACAGAATATGTCACCAGAGGGGAATAAGAGAAACAATGTAAAAGGAAGATCACTGGTTGGACTTAGATGTCTGTAATATCTGACGGTTACTAAGACTAGATTACTTCCTAATTGTCACTAAAAGAAACAACTCAAAGCAAATGAGGAAGAGTCCTCAGTGTAGTAATGATTTCCCATTTCTGTTTAGACAACAAGATGTAATCGTGCTCTTAGGAAGCAAAAGTTACCCTTAGCTGCATGAGTTTTAAGCTTAATCTGGATCATGTAACGTCGGTGTTTAAGACAAGAGTCCTGATCATTTTCAGTTGCAAGCAGGCTAATGACATCGATGAGTGTCATTATTTTCACCTGTTTCTCTTTTCCAGTGCAATGACACAGACCTAACAGAGGATGAATTTAAGAAGGATTTTAAAGCAGTCTTCGCTATTCAGAAACCAAATCTGAACAGTTCACTGCTGTAGTGGACGCTGTTGGGACCCCGGAAAATCCCGCTTTCATGCAGATTTCTCATCCCCCAGCTCAGCTGCTTATGCCACCTCTCCCCAGTGTATTGCTTTGGACATAATAGAGCCTGACTCACCTGAAGTTCCATCTCTTTGGCCTGCACCAAGGTTGAACCAACCATGCGGAGTGATTCACGTTCCTGTGCTCCCCAAGGAATCAGGCCAGAGCTATCTGCAGCTATAACCACTCCCTTGCTTAGCTTTTCCCACCATGCATCCCTGCTTCCCTTATTCTTCCTCCTCCTGAGAGAATTCTCACAATAAATCACTTACTTAAGAGACTTTATCTCAGGCTTTGCTTTTAGGGAACCCAACTTAATATAATGGTCTTAGCAAGCCAGTCCTAAGCATGGACTTCTGAGTTGGATCACTGTCTAGCCAGATGCAGAATATTGATAGTCCCTGGGGTACTGAAACAGTGCAGTTGCAAAAACATTCACCTGTAGGAAACTGAATGACATATGGGGGAGGAGGTAGACTCTCTTGATGCAATTGTCTAGCATTTACAAAGAAAAAAATAGTAATTGTAAGAACTGTATATTTAGGTGGCTATTTCTAAACTCCACTAATGGGATCAAAAGAGTACATGGCAGGCTTACATATCTTAATTATCACCTGCAGCTAGAAGGCAGACAGTAAGGAAGGCCTGGCACAGGCCCTAATTTTAAGAATGACAGAATTTCAGGGAAGACTGAATTCTAAGCTGAGGGAAGCCTCTGATTTCAAAGTCAAGGGCCTGATAAAGAAAGCATGAAGCCCTGAAACTCAGAATGGGGATTTCTAAGTAGATGCACCGAGAACTCTGAACCTAGATTCTCCTGAACCCATTGGCCTGCAAATCCCTGCCCTGTTGGTAGACAGACCCCTGCCCTACACCCCACCTTGCCTGAATTAAGATTATGCAGAGTTCTCTCAGCACAACCAAACTAGAAATATGCTAGATGAACTAGAAGAGATGGTTTACCCCAGTAGAGGTGTAGGACTAAAACAACATATACCAGCAGGTGCTACGAGATTGTATGTGGGAGTGGATCCCAGAAAAACAAGGTTAGAATGTAAAACCGGGGGTGGGGATGCTGATACAGGCACACTCTCCTGGGTCATAGAGTTGAATCAGCCTGGCAAGGTCCAAAGGCAATGATTCTAATATACACCTGCGTGGCTCCTAGAGGCTTGCTGTATAAAGTACAGTGCACACTAGATGAAGTAGAAGAAGAAATATCAGACTTGTCAGGGCTGACAACTAAAAAAAGGGTGGGGGGATCCAAAAGCCTTGGGAAGATGGCATGGCTCTACTCTCTACAACTGGAAAACCCATCCACCAGGTGACTGTGTCTTCAGGAGGCCTCAGAGACACCACCTTAACAAGGCAATAAGAAATGTACTGTTTAGAGGACAGCTGCTCCCTTGAGATGCTCAGTGGGACTGTCCTCTGTAGGTTGGAATAATACAAGAATGATTTACAGAGCTGGATTCCCTAGCAGCAAATGAAATGATAGGACTCCAGAATAAGTGAAGCTAAAAGGCAGCATTAACTGTCATAGCAAGATGAGAAATTTTTGTAATGAGCAGCAATGACAACCAGGGACCCTGGCCCACATATGTATAAAAAAATAGCTACCAGAAGATGGTGTTCTTGCAGGCAAGACAATGAGCAGCCAACAAGAATATTGCTTCATATATGTCATTAAAAGAGATTATACATAGATGATCAGATGGTTGAAGTGCTACTTCAATGAAAAGTCAATATTCCTTGCCCACTTTGAAGACCTCTGCCAATTCTTGACCCAGAAGCTGTGGATGGAAAAGAGGGTGCATACTTATAGGAAAGGATCATTCGAATGTACACAGAAGTAATTCCCTGAGTTCTTCACCAAAGGGACCTCTGGCCATTTATTCAAGTAACCACATGCAAGACAAAGAAAAATACACAGAAATTTTAAAGGTTATTGGTACACTGTCTGAGTTGACACCTGGATACCCAAATCACCATAATGGCCCCTGTTAAAATAGACTGTATGGAGGTGAGCTGATGTCCATCTAAAGATGAGTCCATTCAATCCATGGAGCCACCAACCAGTCATTTCCCAAGTTCCTAAATGTATAATCAGGACACATATAACAGTAGGTCAAACTGATTTTTTAACCTTTTGTTCCTTAACCTTTAAAATAACAATGACTGTCCTAGGAATGGAAGGCTCTGAAACTGAAGTTTTCCATGGTGAAATCAATAAGTTAAAAGCAATATTGTGTTTCTGGGGAAGGAGGGAATACAGAGGTTGTTGCCACCGGCAAAGATGTAAGGATGCAAGGCTTATAATCCCCTTTACATCTCCATATGATTCAGTAGTCTGGCTTAAGCAAAAGTTAGGTGATGTCTGCCTACTAGATGACTACTAGAAACTTGAGCAAAGGTGATGCTTATAGCCCCCAACACTCAGACCTTGATGGACTGCATTCTTGCTTGTAGCAGTCCCTAAGGGGAGATCCCAACTAGTAGGTCTGGTCTTCTAAGGACCAAGCCAGAGGTTCCATCTGCCTAGAGAGCTCAATTGGCAGTTTTACCTGATTTGGATTTCCAGTCAGACCACATCAACCAAGGGGCCTGTTTAGTACCTTGCTTAACCAGAGAAAAAACTGCTGAATGTAGCTCCAGTCCTAGCCATTTAAAAGTCTTGGCCAGATAACTCAGGCAGCCATGGTGACAAGCCTATGGTTCAGCTAATCCAAGGAGCCAGGTGTATAAATCTAAGAGCTGAGCTTAGCCTATGGCCCTGTCCAATTGACTTGCACAATCTGTGACCTCACCCATTCAGGGAGCCTAACCAGTGATCCCACACAAACATAAAGCATAGCCTGTAGCCCCACACAATGAGGGAGCTGGGAGAGTAACCATGCCCAACTGTGGAATAGTTTCTATCCTCACCCAATTGCAGGATGCAGCTGGACAGATCATCCCAATCAGAGAACCTGGCCAGTAACCATGTCCAACAGCAGAGCACAATTTAAGTTATTGTGAAGCCCACCCTACAGTAGCCCTGAATTTGGCTACAGTAGCCCTGCCAAATTCAGGGAACAGCCAGTGGACTTACTGGAACTCAGATCACAATCTAAGACCCAGTGTGACTGTGAACACCTTCCAGTAGCCCCAACTGAACATGAAATCCAGCCAGAGACACCATCAGGCTAGGGAACATAACCTGAAACTACACCCAACCAGAGCTATTGCAGAGCCCAGCCTGTTACACTGACCATTTGCAGAATCCAACCAGTCGCACCACCATATCATGAAACACAGCCTGAAACCTCACCCAACAAGAGGTGATTACAGAGATCAACAAGTGGAACCATCAAGCTCCAGAGCTCAGCCAGCATCCAACCACCAACCTAAGAGCACAGGCAGTGGCCTTTGCAACTGAGACCCTGATAACATGTCCCACCTTCCCATGGATGGCAGCAGATCTTCTGTCTGTATTCCAACCTGAGCTGACTGATGAAGGCATTTTCCTGATGCAGTGAACCTGTAAAGTCTGGAAGAAGAAACTGCTTATTTATATGCACTGATACCAACACAAGAAATCAAAGATCATGAAGGTTCATAAATATTGCACTACAAAAACAAAAACCTAATAAACTCTAAGAACTACCCCTAAAAAAATGGGGATCTATAAATTGTCTGACAAATAATTTAGAAGTATCTTCCTAAAGAAGTTCAGTGAACCACAAGAACCTCTGGACATACAACTAAATAAAATGGAAAGAAAAAAAATAACAAAATGAGCAGTTCACCAAAAAAGAAACTATAAAAAAAAATCCTAGACCTAAAGAATACCATAACTGAACTGAAAAATTTAATAGAGAGCTTTACAGCAGACCCAGTCAAGTGAAAGAAAAAAATCAGTGAACTAGAAGATAGGTTATTTAAAATCATTTAGTCAGAGGAGCCAAACAAGAGTGAAGAATGTCTACAGTATTTGTGAGACATTATTAAGAAAATCACATATGCATTATGGGAATTCCAGAAACAGAAAAGTAAAAGAAATGAACAGAACGTCTTTTTAAATCAACAATGGTTGAAAACTTTCCATGTTTGGGAAGCAAAATGGACTTTCAGCTTCACAAAACCCGCTGGACCCAATTGGTAGAAACTAAAAAGGGCTACACAGACAATTTTATATAAACTTTCAAAGTCAAAGACAAAGAGAGAATTTTTAAAGCAGCAAGAAAAAAGTGACTTATCACATGCATGAAAGTCCCCATAAGACTATCAGTGGCTTTCTCAACAAAAACTTTTCAGGTAGGAGAAAGATGAATGATATATTCAAAATATTAAAAGATAAAATTGTCAACCAAGAATAGTTCCCAGTAAAGCTGTCCTTTGGAAATGAAGAAGAAATAAACTTCCCCAAATGAACAAAAGCTGAGGGAGTTCAACACCAGTAGACCTGCCTTATAAGAAATATTAAAGGGCCTTCTTCAAGCTAAAATAAAAAAGATGTTAATTAGCATAATAAAAACATGAATGAGTAAAAATCCCTATGATTGTAAACATACAGTTGAAGTCAGATTCTCTGATATTGTAATGGTGTTATATATTTCATTATAACTACAATTTAAAAGTTAAAAAACAATACATTAAAAATATCCATAACTGTAATAATTCATTATTGGATACACAATGTTAAAAAGATGTAAATTATGACATCAATAATCTCAAATATCAGGAAGAGATTAACCAAAGAATTTATATGCATACCCATGGAAATGGACAATAATGTGATGAAGGCCTGGGTGGAGGGGTTGTCTGAAGAGGAGTGGAGGAGGTCAATGGGGTTAAAAAGGAGAAACATTTGTAATACTTTCTCTTTTTTTTTATGTTTACTGGTTTATTATATTTTTTTTTTTTCATTTATTTATTTTATTTTTGTTACAGATGTTTCTCCTTTTTTACTCCATTGACACCCTCCTCCCCATCCACCCCACCCCGTCCCGGGCTTTGTTGTCTATGTCCATTGATTAGTGTACATAAATATAAATTCTGTGGTTTATCTCTTCTCTCCCCCCACCACCCCCTCTTCTGAGTGTTGTCAATCTTACCCTACTTCCATGTCTCTGGGTCTACCCTATTCCTCAGACTGTTATGTTCATTATATTCCACAAATAAGTGAAATCATGTGGTATTTGTCTTTTTCTGCTTGGCTTGTTTCACTTAGGATAATACTTTCCAGGTCCCTCCATGTTGTCTCAAAGGTTAAGAGATCTTTCTGTCTTACAGCTGCATAGTACTCCATTGTGTATATGTACCACTGCTTTCTTATCCATTTGTCTACTGATGGACACTTAGGCTGTTTCCAGAT